GAACACTGACAACTGATATGGACTGAACTCAGACAATGGACACATAAACAACTGGTGTACATGCAACGGTGTGATTACACTATTCATTATCCGGAAAGTGACCGTACAATACATACTGTAAATGAGGTCAAACTTTCCATTGGATAAAACACCAGAGTAATTAAATACTAAATCCAGAAGTTCTGAAAACACTCATAATAGCATGTTGAATGGGATTTACACCCATCCCACAGGAAAAGCCAATCTGAATGGCGCAAAGATGGTAAGAGAAAAAGCTATTGGTCAGCGGATCTAGGTACATTTTTCATTTGACTACAATGCAATAAAAACAAACTATATTGTCATAGGCCGTTATCGCCGCAAACATTTGTTATAGTAGAAAAAGACTAGGTTAACAATGCATCCATTCTCTTCTAGTGTTCCTGTAAGCCATTACAAGTAAACAAACATGCACCAGGATCCTGAAACCAGCTCAGCTAAAAATAATTTTGCCATCATTAAATGTTATCGTTTAAACGTGTGCTTTTACCAGTGTGACAAAGAAAAAGGCCTGTAAGCGATCAAGATTTTTAAAATATGGACAGCCTGTTTTATATGCATGCAACTGTCACACGTCATTCTGACAAACATTTAGTGAGAGATTTGTTGCTGCTTGTGTACGTTAATGTTCTATATCTGTGTCTGTGTGTGAATTTGCGCATCTGACCGATTAGTGGGTCTGTGACGTGGGTCCAGTCGATGCAGTCCTGCAGCTCCAGCTGGTAATGTGACTGGATGTAGAGCAGAAGGTGCTGGTAGAAACCAACGCCGGCGATCAGGTGTGTACGGTAGGCACACTCCAGAGCGCTGCGACTGTGGATGTGCTACAGTGGAGGAAAGAGAACGAAAAAAAAAAGCCAAGATATTAGAGATATGACCAGGAAAACTATAATAAACTATGTAACATACATATATTGTTTATAATGAGCATCAAAAAGGCAAAAAAAAGAGAGAGCACTGAGCAATTAAGTATAATGTACAGGAAAAAAAATGACAAGCAATTGGGAAACATTATTATTGGTAATGCAGAAAAAAAACATGGTTAAGAAATAAAACCCAAGAAAAAAGCATGAATAAAACTGGCAAAATAATAAATATTATAAGAGAAGTTGAACTTTACAAGAATACTCCACTGAGTACCTGTAACGTTGTCAGACTCCCAATGGACAGTTGAACAAAAATAATAACATTGGTTTAACAGAACCAGAAATACAGCCTTTTTTAATACCATGATTTGGTTTCCTTGTTGAAACATGCTTATATTACCCATAATGCAACTCTAATGATTACAGTTGTTTCGAGATTTGAGCCAGTTACACTTACAGCTAACACAGCCTTGAGCTGCGAGGCTTAAGCAGGGATGAGGCGAAGGCTACAGAGGTCTGGTAAGCTCACTTATTTCAAACTCTGCACCACCGTCAGACTGCTGCACATGACATGACATGACTTGAGGCAATTTATCAGATTTCCCCCAGCTCTCACATACATAGAACTACTCCCAAGACCTGTAAACAGACTTTGATGTGTAAAATCGGTGGAGTTCCCCTTCATGAAGAGACTTCTTAAGTATGTTTAAAATGAACAAATGTGCAACAAATGATTAAGGCTCAACTGCTGATGATCAATATTTTTAGGATTTAGGTTCACGTGCATCTGAATCACAGTACAGACATACATACTGAAACTGTGAACCTTTCTATGACAGAACTCAGCTCAGAAATGTTCCTGCTACGTTTGATAAGGATAATAATGTTGAATCGAATAGCAGAGTTCAAGGTTTCATTACCACTGGGACCACCCATGCAAAACACGCCCACGCTCTTTGTACTCCATGAGATTCTTTACATGCCAGTGACCACAAAATGGCAGATGTCCTAGTAGAGTGGATCTTTAAGAACAGAAAAAACTGGCATGCAATGAGTTTTTTTTTTTACCCCACAGCTGCAGGGTCAGTTACCTTCTTGTTGGTCTTGATAACCTGGATGACCTCATAGTAAACCTTCCTCCAGAGCAGCTCCTCAGCCTTACGGCCATAGTCAACAGGGTGGAGAAACATCAGCTTCACACAAAGCTCCCTCAGCCTGAAAACACACAGGATGAAAAACAGATACACACATGCATAAGTTAAGGAGGTAGTTGGGTCACCGGTTTAATACAAGTCTAAATACAAGATCAACCCAAAATGTGAGCAAAGGCATCTAATCACCTCTGCCACGTTCATATGCCCTTGTATTGCAGCGTAAATGCACATGCAACAAACTATTATGCTCATGGATTCATCTCAGACAAATACTTTTTTGATCAATTGGTCTACAAAATGTCATAAAACACTGAAAAATGCCATTTATAATTTCCTAGAGCCCAAGGTGACATTTTTACATGTCTAGTTTATAGGTTTAAAAAAAAAAAAAATAATAACTCTGCACACCTGAATGTGTTATAGGTGCATCGTAGGAAGGTGCAACTGGAAAAAAAATGAGGGATGATATGTGTGAATGTATGTATATACGTGTATGTACATGTATATGTGTAGCGAGACAGTGTGGGAAGTCCCTCGTTGTTTTCAAATGTCTAGTTTATCTAACCAACAGTCCCAAACGCAAAGATATTAAGTGTACTATCGTATATGGCAAAGAAAAGCAGCAAAATGTAAAAGTTAGAAGCTGGAACGAGCAAACGTTTGGCATCTTTAATTGAAGAATTGAAGGCCTGTCTAGCTCAGAAGGCAGTCACTGAGAGATATGAGATCTCCTCTGTCTGTCTGTCTGTCTGTCTGTCTGTCTGTGTGTGTGTGTGTGTGTGTGTGTGTGTGTGTGTGTATATAGAGTAAACACATGGCCTCTTCGTCACGTTTTACCTCCAACTTCCCCTTTCTGTTTTTCAGCTTTTGGTTCATTGCATCAAGTATCAAAATAAGCCTGTCCACAGGCTGTTAAGAGTGAGCACAAATGAGTGTGTTTATGTTTTATTTTAGTCATGCAGAGATCACAACTTCTCACAGTAGAATCAAATGACTATATTGAAGCATAAGTGGTTAATTTGCACACATTAAATTATCTTGTAATGCTAAGTGTGATACAGAATACCAGGTGTGAACAGAGATGCTGTGAGGTGTAGTCAAAGTCTTATCAGCTATAAACGAACTGGAGGTGAGCCACCGGCGGCTATTCATGCACAGGACTATCCATAGTTATATTCCAGACAACTGGCTGGATTAAACTCAGATTGTAGCCTGTGACGTTTTAAATTACACCCCTGCCTCATTGCACACACACACATTGCTGCGACTGCTGCACATACTTGTTGCGAAGGCTGATGTTCTCCGGCTTGAAGACCTCTCTGTAGGATGCTTTGCTGCCGATGATGACATCCAACTTGTGCACAGACTCCACCACAGCCCTGGGCAGCGTTGGACAATAGAAAGCATTAGCGTAATAATGCCCGGTCGATTAGGGATGCCAGGAACAAATGTCATCTCAAATACTGCGGGCTACCACGCCAGCAACCACAATCCTTCCTGTTTCATTTCTCTGTAACAACAGCGGTGATGACAAAGAGCAGCTACAAATCACGATTTCATAAGCTAATAATAAAGCTAACACAAGCCACACTAACTAAAAGCATTGGGACTTTTTTTTTTTTCCGGTCACATTTAGCTGACGAGTATGCAGGGATGTTGAGCTACTCCTTGTCGTTACTGAAAGGAAGAATATGTGGATCCTTTCTTGTGTTAGAAAACACTCATTGGCTGGCTGGCGCTAAATTAGCACCTCGGTTAGCTAACGTAAAAACGGCCTCGCCAACTTACCTGTAAAGCCGCTTTATGAGAAGGACTTTCGCCTCCGGCTCGCTGTCCTGCCCCGGTCCACTCATATTAGCGAGAAGCAGGTAGTTTAGTCTCCCGTCTCCCTTCAACCCTCCCGACACACAGTGGTCAGGGGTGCTCGGGTTTGTTCCCCCCCGGCAGTGACAACCGTGTTGATAGCCAGCTAGCGCAAGCTATCAAGGTAGTGTTAGCTTTTCTCCCTTTCCCTCCGAGTCTCTTTCCCGTTTCTTGTGTCCTTTGGCAAGACCCCCTCTACCCATCCGTTCTGAAAACCGGGTAGGAGGGGGTGCCCGGTAATTTATGCTCCTCCTGGTCAGCTAAAACGCTCTGATATGCTTCTTGTGTTGTTCCCTGTGCCAGCCATTGCTACGAAGGCGGCCATTATTCCTATCGGGCAGTGACCGCCTGAATATCGCGAGACTACAGCACTTAGACACCGGATTAAATCAGGGGTTGCCAGACAGTGAACGCATCCCTCATATGCGTAACTTTGGATGAAAACAAGATAGACTTTGGAGAGACGGTACACTGAAATACCTGTAGTGTAGCACATCCAGCAATTTCGTATTGTTTATGAGAGAGGCAGTGGAAATTGGTGAATCCAATTATCTACCTCTCTAGATAGAGAGATAGATAAATAGATAAATAATAGTGATAGATAGATAGATAGATAGATAGATAGATAGATAGATAGATAGATAGATAGATAGATAGATAGATAGATAGATAGATAGATAGATAGATAGATAGATAGATAGATAGATAGATAGATAGATAGATAGACTTTATTAATCTCTGAAGGGAATTTTCATATTATATTCAAAACGGCTCAATCACCCAAATAGTGAACCCAGTAATTGCAAGAAGTTGTGTAATACAAGTGATTTTGATTAATTTTGAGCTGATTACGTCCTATTTAGGGAGCTTTTTATACAATTATTTGTCTATATTAAGTTTTTTTTTTTTTTTTTTTGTCTTTGGCTTGTATTGCTTTTATTTGATAGGACAGCTGAAGACTACGGGCCCCTAAAGGTACATGGGAAAAAAAAAAAATGAAACGTTTCTAGTGCGCACTAGATACTTTCTTGTGAGCACTAGATAGTATCTAGTGCTCACTAGAAACGTTTCTTTTTTTTTTCCCATGTCCCTTTACTAGAAGACAGACAGGAAGGGGGGGCAGAGAGAGAGGGGATGACTAGCAGGAAATGGCTGCAGGTTGGACTTGAACCCCCGGGCCGCTGTGGCAAGGACTCAGCCTCGGTACATGGGTCGCCAGCTCTACCCACTGAGCCAACCAGGCGCCCTATAGTAAGTATTTTTTAACAATCATACATACTCTGTAGGCTTTTTTTTTTTTTTTTTTTTTGACAAATTCTGTGTTTTCTTGTCCCTGATTCTTGGTAATTGTTCTATTGTACAATTTACTTTACTTTACATTTACTTTTCTTCACAGAAGTGAACCAGATGCTGAGATATCGGCCAATCAATATCATTTTTAAAGTTTTCTAGTGTGCCTGTAAAATCAAGAAGGCCTTGCGACTCTCCATGAAGCTTTGGGGACCCCTATGTTGGGAACCAGTGGTTTAGACTAACTCTCATCTCCCAGCTCTAATCATTGAGATTGTACAGATCACATTATGTCTTTAGAAATCATATCAAAAATCTAAATACCCTGCTCACCTATGTACCACCCACACAGATGTTTTCACTTATTTTGCCTGATTAGATCTCTTATCAGGCATGTGCTGACTTTTGTTATACCTGATAGGATGGGACAACTTCCATCTTCATCATCCTTATTAGAATATTTCAGTGACCTCAAATGAAATCTAGCAAGATATATATGTATATTAATGCAGATGGTCTTACAGTTGTGTCACAATGAACTATCAGTTCGTTACAGTGTTTTACGTGTTTTCTTTGTATTTTTTCCCTACAAAATACACAGGGTTGTTAAAAAAAAAGTGGTAATGATGGCAGAGGTATGTTTACTTATGTCTTTCCCGAAGTGTACAGTGACCACATCCACTTTAAGCTCTGTTGTTGTAATTCCTCCTGGTTGCCAACAGAGGTCTATAAAGATCATAGATTATTTTACGTTTCTATACATACAATGTTAAAGTATATAATGCTAAATGTTAAAGTCACAGAAAAATGGCACTTCAAGAGCTGCTTGCTTACTAAATGTCTTGTGTTTTTATGTATTTTCTGACTGTGGAAGCAGGATATTAGTATGACAGACAGAGGACTTACACAGAAACATGTGATGTTTTATGGGTTAGAATTATGTATGCATGTAATGATGCTGTAAAAGTAATATAATTTTTATACAAAATGGAAAAAGGACATGAAAAAGGAAAACCTTACTGCTCATTGTATTGTGTCGTGAATATTCTTTAGGTTAGTTTAACCTGGTTGAATAATTTCATGAATGCTCGGGTCATGTAATTAGCAGATTCAGGTGGATCTCTCAGCTCTGTTTGTACAGTATGAACCATCTATTGCTCCTCTTTTTTGTGCTAATTTTTTTTCCTGCTCTGTCCAAACTCAGAAGTTGCCAACCCACTAAGGAACTGCAGGCGATTAAGTGTGGAGGATGAGGATAATTACAAGCTTGCTATATTCAGAGTCCCCAGTACCCACAGTCTGCCTGCCATCCACACTCTCAGCACCCCTGCTGGGGAGAGTATGAGGAAATGATCTGCTCCGCTCACCAGTCCTGAGATGTAGAAAAACAATAGCTGACCCAGATGAGCAAGCACTGTGAGGCAAAAACTTACCTGTGATCTAACCGCAGATGTAGACACAAAATAAGAGTGAATGAGCTTGTCAGTCTAGAAAATGGATCTTTATATTGCAAAGATCGTAAGAAAGGTCAAGGCAGATCAATAACCTCACTTTGTATTATTGTATGTAAGTGTACGTGTAAGTGTATCATAACCTTGTTAAGAGGATGTGCATGTTGTGAACCTATACAGTATATAGTGCTGAAACAATTAGTTAGAATTAGAAGTTTTTATAGTTGATCAGCCACTTGAGTAATTTTTCAAGCAAAAATACCAAACATTGACATATTCTGAAGACTTCTCTCTATTTTATAATTGTATATGAAATATTTTGGTGGTTTTGGACTGTTTATCAGATAAAACCAGCAACTGAAACATATCACTTTGGGGTCTGAGAAATTATTCTGCATTTTCAGACATTTTATTGACTCAATTTATCTAATCATTAGTTGTTGTGGCCCTAGTTTACAAGGAAGAGGCCAAACACTATATATCCAGACCGAGTAAGCCATGTTTCCCACCATTTAAAGGATGAGGCTGGTGATATTCTATATTTTTGTCTCAATACTTTCCAACTTCCTTTCCCTTGTCTCAAGTCCATTTGTTCCTACTGCAAATGTAAATGCTTAAAAATGGGCCATAAATATAAACTTTCATTAAAAAAAAAAAAAAAAGGCTAAGTCTCCTTAAAAGCTAGGCACTGTAGTTTTAAGCCACCATTACTCAAACGGGAGTAAATAAAATAAATAATAACAGTGTTTGTATTTAACAAATAAACACCCCCATTGCAGTATGGTGTGGCTTATTGATGTGTTTTTATTAGCTTTTGCTGTTCTTGAGATTTGCTGACACTTACCCTTTAATCTACTAGAAAAGCCCAAATTAATGCATTAAGAAACAGAAAACACATTTACAGACCTGGTTAAGAATTTAATTATTTGTTTATTTATTAATTTATTTACGTATTTCTATCTCCAGATTCACCCACCCGAAAATATAAATTCCGGTGTATTCCAAAGGAAAAAAAAAGGAACAATGGCATCTTCATCAACCGCATCAAAGGAATTAATCAACAAAAGTGGCAATAATTATTATCATTATTACAATAATAATTCAATGATCAGAATATCCACATTCATAACAAATCCATATACAACTGCAATACACTCTTCAACACCACTCTTCCATTAATATACACAAAATCCCCAAATGTCTGTCCTGTCAAAACAACAATAGAGGAGTTTTGGGGAGGGGGGCTATGGCTTGTCAAGGGGTATGAAGATGAGTGACCAGCGGAGTTAATGGATCTAAGGTTAGTAAGAGTATAAGGGGGAGGCACACTTATTTAGTAAGGACCTATACAAAAACAAGCAGTGTTAAGTAATGACAGTATACTTTCATGGAACGATTCGCCAGTCTAACCGAATCTTAACAAAAGGTTAGAAGGCTCCATGAGAGGCAGAATTTGGGGAACAAAATTTCAAGAAATATATAAGGGTTGTCGGAATAAATATATAACTCTGAATGACAACCGTTGCAAACATATACCATAGGAACCTAAAGTGAAAGTCAGATACGCAAGAACTCAAAACAGGTTGAGAGTTTTCAAAGAAATGCAGATGGAGGTTTCTGGAAAAATTGTCTTAGTCTATATATGTACAAACATTGCTTGGTCACCCAAATCTACTTAGAAAAGCTTTTTAGTTGGTCAGAAAATGAGTGCAAGCTTAAGATTATGTGAGTTACTTTTTGTATGAGAGCTTCAAGAATGCAGCTATAAGTGACAGACCTTGCTGATATTCTAAGTCTGCACAGAAAGTGCCTCTGATAGCTCAGCACATTTAAAAACCTTTCCATGCCTCAGTATTGGTAACTTGAGAAGACCTATTCATAGAAAGAGAGAGAAACATTAGAGGAAAAAATAACTGTACACTCTGCATATACAAACAAACTGTATATACACATAGACATACTATATATACACATTTATCCAGTATATACACAAAGATTTAGCCAGTACACACACTTATATACAAACACATTCACTCGTTTCAGCAGGACCTCTAACATATCTCTCTCTGTTTCAGTCACAAGTGGAAATGGCAGGGATTTCAACTCAGACTGGTGTCAGTGGAGTCCATCCATAGAAGTAAATGGGGAGTTTTACCGCAATTTGAATGCAGAAATGTGGCCACACTGAAACCAAGAGTTCATCCTCTGCTCGGTTAAAACTCTACAGACAGATAGTCGAAGTGGAGTACAAAACAATATCTGTAAGAATGTCCTCATCCAAAGACTTTCACATCGTCCGTAAATGGAGAGCTCCATGGCGATTGTTGGGCAAGAAACATCCGTCCACTTTTCCTTTTTTGTTTTGACTGATTATAACTAAGAGGAGGGAGGGCACAGGTCACAGCAACGTGCAAACTGCTGTAAGGGGAGTAGGTATAACACAAGTTTGTCCCTTTCGTCACAGTCCTTTAGGGCAATGATTCTCTCCACAAGATTGTCTTAGTAAGAAAACTGGGTTCATATAAAATGGATTATTTATGAACTTCCATTAGATAGAGGCATCTATCTATATCAAGAAATAAATATCTGCTCCGGAAGATTTCTGATGAAGAGTTCTTTTTATACTATTGTAAGAATAAGCAGTATCATAGAAATATAAATAATAACATTCTGTCCGGTTTTTCAAAGTCTTCCTTGAAGCAAGAGTTTTGTTCTGAAGCAGTTTCACTTGTTGTATTAGGCTGTGCATATTTAGTTTCCTTTAAAATCAAAGTCTGAAAGAGATTGGAACGGAAGAGCTAAAACTATGAATCGAGAAAGAGATCAAGTGTGTCTAAACTGGAGTAAAAATGAAGTGGTTAAATAATGCTTTCCTAGATAGATAAAGAGTGAATAGATTAATCAAAGGGTAATTTGAAAAGACTATAAGAGAGAGAGAGAGAGAGAGGGAAATAAATGCTTTGAAAGTAAATCAGCTTTGACTAAAATTTTAAGAGAAGTCAAGCACCTTTGAAATACATCTTACCCACAATACACCTCCCCTCTCTCTCCTTTTGAGCATCATGCCTTCCTTGGCCTTTGTGTTCCTCCGTTCTGCTGATTGATCAGACTGCATAGCTGTTCTTTGCATGCTCGGCAGGCTAACAAACGCCAATATGTGTCCAGCCTACCTTTTAAAAGTAAAACGTAGATCCAAGCAAGAGGCGTCAAACACAAAAAAAAATCCTGTTATCAAATCAGAGAGAGAGGGCCCAAGTTAAGTTAAAAAAAACCCAGCATTTCCTTACATGGTCCGCTGGGGCTCTGCACCATCCTTTGAGCAAAGAGAATGGGACCAATGCCCCAAGTTCTCCCTTTGTCAGCCAATCGCGTCACGAGAGAGGGCTCTGGACATTTGGCCATGCCACCCTGTGGACTGCCGATGGTGCATCAGCCAATTAGGTTCCACATTGTCCTCCATGAAGCTTTGAGAGTGGCTAGGGGGAGAAAAAAAGGGAGACAGAGAGAGAGAAGAAACGGAGGAGGGTGCTTGATCAGGTGCTATTGAAGCATAGCTAGAGACCGAGTATCTGCATGGTGGCAGTCTTTCCAAAGCTGGACTCATCTCTTTTCTATAGTTTTTGTGTTCAGCTCTGAGGCAACTGCTTGTTTACCTGAGTCACTGAGGTATTTTCACAGCAATGTTAATTTCTCAATCACGGATCATCTCACATCTCTGAAAAGACACTGATGTTCAAACCTAGACCACTGTAAAGCCAACATTCTTCACACACTAGTAATTTCACAAGAAAAAAGTAGCCCTACAAGCTGTCTAAATAGAAGACAATCTTTCCCTGCGTAAAAACTGCTAGCATTATTAACATTTGGTGGTTCGACAGTTAAACATTCACTGAAAGTATGAGCTAATCCACTAGCACTGGCCTAGGAAGTACTAGCATTGGTCATTTGTTGACCTTTGACACTGCAAAGTAAGTGATTTGTTCTCTCTGAAGAGAAAAATGGCTGGCACAAAGCTGATGTGAAACTCTTCAACTCCTCTTGGTTCAACCTGCACGTTTAAACAAGCTGAGTTGTTGCAGAGACACCAGTGTGTGTGTGGCTACAGAGACAAAAAACAAATTCACATCCAGACAAACCTTACAACAGACAGTTCATACATAAAATGAAGGATTATGGATACACATTACAAACATTTCAAAGACTTCCAGCATTTGACACATGAAAAACTGAAGAGTTCATTTCAAAAATACACCATACAATATTTCTAAAATTTTCTTTGTTTACTCCAAAGGTCTTTTAATTTGTTTTAATGATGTTATCAAACGAGATAGATAGCCACTCTGTTCGTTTTGAAATGAAACTTCAAATCATGGAAAATACACAAAGAAGTATGTCATTACTGATTTTCTTAAAAGCATCAGGGGTGTAATATATTCTTATTGTCTTAAGCAAGGCTTTATAATGTGCATCTGGTCGATGACTAGCTAGTCTACTGGCCAAAGGATGCTCAATATATTTATCCCAGGCACTTAATGGCAGGCTTTGCAGACCTAAATGGTTGAAATCTTTTCACACATAGTTGGAAAGATGATCCTTGTTATAATGTCACAGTGGCAATGTTTACTGCAATAAAATAAGTGTTTGTATGCACTAACATTAGTATGGTGAAAATTGTAAATGTTTTTCTAAATGTACTAATAATGGCACCACAACACAATGGACCAACACTTTTTAACTTAAACAAAAAAAAAAACCTTTAAAACTGGGAATAAACTCCATTCATCCATTTCATTCAAAGTAGCTTCATTCAATCTTAAAATATTTAGTCCTCTGTGTAAACTAAAAATAGCACTTTGGGGCTAGATTTCCACAAATTTGAATTCAACTGAATTGAATTCGTTCAATATATGATCCATCAATTTTGAGCCGGGGAGCTGCTTTTATTAACTGTAAATAAAACCAGAGATTGGAGGAGGGTGCTTCTAAAACACAGATATGGAATCCCCAACAACCCCATTAAAAAAAAGAACAACAACAGGATGCACAAAGAACAAACACAAAGACACGTACAAAACATATTGGGGGGGGAAAGGTCCTGTCAAAGACAAATTGCAGGAAAGAGAGAGAGAGAGAGAGAGAGAGAGAGAGAGAGAGAGAGAGAGAGAGGAAAGACAGTGAGTGAATCATGAAAGAGGCAGTGTTATGGCAGACACAGACATTTGACTTGGAAAATGGCACCATTTGTTTCTGTTTAGCACCAGTTTATCACATATCGGTTCTGAGATTGAGAAGAGAAAAATTGCACGAGCTCAGTCCAAAAACAAGAAGTCCCTTAGATTGAAAAAAAAGAAAAGTTCCCAAAAATGTCTTCCGTCACTCAAACCTCTACGACGCTTGATCTTGTGTCTTTGAATCTCTGTTTTCAGCCCACAGATCATTTCTCTGACTAGCAAAGCTAACTTGGATCTCCATCTGTTACGTCTGTATCAGATCTCTATTGGAAAACCCTGTTGAAAAACACTCAAAGGCACTAAGAAAGCCAGACTACATCACCAAATCTCTACCTAAACAATTTGCAGCCTGGCGTGTTCAGGATAGGTATATTTAATGCACCTACATCCATGGGAGTCAAGAGTTACTATAAGCCATCTTATAGCACTTGCTAATGGCTACTATGAAGTCTTTGGGGTGTAAGACATTCTATAGTGCTTGTTTCTTACATGTATTTATTTCTCATGAAGCCACAGACAGGCAATGAGTGCACAGAGTGGATGTTCACATATCGGCTTGGTATGTACGTCAAATGCTTTGTTTGACTGATTCAAAGAGTATGTTATAAGGTATCATTATCTTGTCCTGCAAGACTGATACTAACTGAAGCTCCGTGTGAGCATCAAGAGAACAAGTGTCCATTGAAGAGCCCTTTGTGTTGTGTGTTCATGTATTATGCACTGTACAGTAGCTTTATGATCACTACTCGTCTCCCGCACACTTTTCTTCTCTCTCTCGCCCAGGGAATAAGAATATCTATGGCGAATTCTTTTTCAAAGCATATTCTTGCTAAATGGGAAAGACGGGGACAGTGTTTTCCTTTGTGTCATCTCTCTCTGATTTTGCTCAGTGTTGTGTTTGACCTACTCCCCCTTCTTCTGCTATGCCTGTAGTTGCTGTTGCTGTGGTTCCAGTTGCCTGTGAGGTTGTCATGGGGGAGGATGTTTGGTTGCCACGGAGCTCTCCATTCTGACTAGGATGTTGATGAGGAGTGGGTAGAGAGGGAGGGTCTATAGTTTGGGGGAGGACTCCATTGTGGGGCGAGCTGTCAGAGGAAATGCCTGAGGAAGAGAGTCTGAGGCCTTGATCGTTGGTTACCACTCCTCCTTCTTGTCCTCCTTGTCCTCCTCCTCCTCCGCCTCCACCACCTCCCCCTCCACCTTCAGTTTTCACACCGGGGTCTGCAGAACCCAGGGAGGAAAGCTGGTCCTCCTAGCGAGATAGAGAGAGAGGGGAGGGGAAAGAGGAGTGGGAGCAGGGAGAGATGGTCGTAGGAGAGAGGCCATTCAATGAGCGATGGGAGGGATGTGAGGAGTTGTAAAGGAGATGTCCAATCAAGGCAGATAGCGTGACATGTAGAGGGAAAAATCACATGTTGAAGAGGTGTGAGTGTGTGGGAAGAAGTAAGAATAGTGAGATACAGATGACAAAGAGGACAATGAGGAAAATTACCAGGATGTGATTGAATTGTGCGGAAGTGGAAAAGGTCAACATTGACATATACAAAGAACAGGTTGGGATGAGTACATGTAAAAGCAATGGTAGAAGCAAAGTAAGGAAGAATTAGAAAATAAAAGACAAGTGATAAGGGATTGGAAGAACCACACAGAAAGAAAGAGACAGAGAGAGAGGAGAGAGAGAGCCAAATGAGTCACAAAGTTGATGCATGACGTACACCAATAGAAATGGCAGCACAGGAAAAGGGACACAGGGAAAGAGGGGATGAAGGGGAATTAAAATTCTTGAGGTCAAAGGGTCCTGATCCTCTCGGGATGAGTAGCAAGGGTGGTTTGTCGGGTGTCAGGAAAAGTCAGGAAGTCAAATGAGTCATTCTTTGCCAATGAGTACAAATCATGTTCAATATCAGCTAAGCTTCCATGTAAATGTGCCAGCTTGAAAGTATTTTGAATAAAAGACTGTAAAAAAAACTCTAAAATTATGGCTTATGTCTTAACAGCACAAACTGTAGCATCAGCCTGTTACTAAAACATGCAAAAAAAAACAAAAAAACGTAAAGCCACAAAGAGCTCAGAGCCAAATTTAAAAACAAGATAAAGGTGCATCTTATAGCCTGGCAGGAAATCCAAACCAACAAATTCACCAACCAAAATGTCTAACCCAACCCCATTGATCACATAGCAATGAGTTGCTGCAAGGGTGTTCATCCTGGGTTGGAGCTTTTGATTAGTGATTAAGTCAAAGTTTGGTTTTGCCAGCTTTTCTTACTTACATTGGCGCAGAATAACAGCAATGCAATTCTAGTTTCATTATTAGTATATATCAAGGTCTGTTAGCAAGCCTTCACTCCCAGTCTTGTTCACTGACATCTGTGTAGGAGCAGTGGGGAGAGAAAACAATTGGGTTATTGTGCCAATAGACAACTATGAGGACTCTATTCATAATGGTGCTTAATGTATTCAAGAGCTACTGCAAGATGATTTGAATATAGAAGCATTTTGAAAGCTAAAAATCACAGTTTTACCATCAGACCAGGGTAGAACCTCTTGAAATAATTGCACTTGATTTATCTTGCCTGGCACATTTGCTGTGTGGTGTCTAGACATAATTACAGAGACTCTGTTTCACTGAAAAATGTAAAACGAGTGCAGAGCCATCTAAAAGAACTTGGAAATATGTGCAGTAATTTAACTCGGGCTTGTTCTTTATCGAACATCGGAAAATATGTATGACAATAAATACCACCGTAATGCTTACATACAAGAAGTATGAAATATTGTAACATGAATGGAATGGCGTGCTGTAGAGGGGAAAGACAGGAAGTAGGAGGGATAGTTTGGTCTGCATCCAGTAGAGAAAATGAATCAAAAAGGAGCAAAATCTAATTATCACTGGATAAGCTGTATCTGATGGGTGTGTCCATTCTGAGTGGAAGGTGTTTCCATTTCACTTTTAAAAAAAAAGGGAAAAGAAGAACGAAAAAATTACCCCAAAATTTGATGTGAATTAGGAGGCCTTTTCTCTTCTCAATCAGAACCAAAATGGATGAAAACATTTTCAGCTGCTAACTGGTGCTATGAACAGCTACAGTATCTACTATGGTTACAGACAGTTACAGGATGCCAGTAACATGACTCCACTAACACTTGTTTCATTACTCTCAAACACAACCAACAGTGTCGTTTAATATCCATGTGTAGACCATTACACATGTCTATTAAACTCAGGAATCAAGCAGCTAAACAAAGACATGGCAAAAATGTTTACTGACATCCTTTTTAACTTACCAAACTTGCTTCACTCTCGTGTGGGCTGTAGTGTTTGATTACTTGGTGCATTCAATTACAGCTTGATGTGAGAGTGTTTTTTATGCTAATGAAAATTGTTGTACTGGAAACAGGAACACAAAACACTTAGTGGAGTACTGAAATGTTGGGTGTATAGTAATGATGCAGATAGAGTATAGCACACACAGGTTCTTACCCATCTCCTCCAATCTCCAATCAATTTGAATCATGAATGTCTAGAGCAAACTGTAAGCACCTCCACATTTGAAATAAAAACTTGCTGTGAGTGTTTTAATCAATTTATATATGGCAGTTGTTAAATTAAAAGGGCCCCTTCAGGGCTTAAGAGGACTGGCTTGTCAGGTGAAGAGCTCTAACTCTGACGCAAAACAAACAAACAAAAAAAAAAAAAACCATACGCACATCACACATCATCAGACGCACCAAAACAACTGGCCTTTGCACCATTCAACCCAACAATGTGCCCAGGTGCCAAACACATACACAAACACGTAAATATCGGAAACACAGACTCAGTGAAACGCACAGAAAACACACAAAACAAGTGCACATTAATCAGTGTTCTTCAGGGAAGGATTGGGTCAGATACGGAGATTTCCCATAATTCCCGTTGTTTGTCTGAGGGCATTCTGGGAGGGATGGAAAACTGAATGGAAATGTAAGTTCATGTGTGTAGGAAAACACAGCGGTTAATAATATGTTGTGTGGCAGGGGGACAAAAATCTATAATTAAAGAGAATTCACACAATATTCCAGAGACATTAGGACAGATTCATCACCAAGAATTTAAGAATGTTTGGGCCTGTTTTCAACCAGGTATTTAACCAGTAAACAGGCCTAAAATCAACATTTCATGTCTTATTTCTCACTCACAAATCTGTACAGGAGTCTGTGAAACCATAAAACGTGTGCATTCTTTTTTAATTTGGATTTTTTTTTTTTACAAATGCCTTGTCATTGTGCAATTGTAAGAACCAGAGGGAATCCTGTGTACATGTAACAGTAATCCTGTATATTCTACTAACCCTAACCGTAACCCTTTGATGGTTATACAGTTGACTATTGTTTATTAATTAAGATTATATTGGTTAATATATTCTAAGTTAATTAAGGGCATATGAAAAAATGAGGTGACTATTAAATGTGATGAAAATCTGAGTTGAATATTTGCAAATGCCAACATCTGAAAATAGCGGAGCTTAAGAATCAATGGCATCCATTGATTATTTTGTATTTCTCTGTATTTCAACATTTTACTCAATGCAAAGAGTTACAGGAAGGTCTCCGTATATGACATGAAAATCATTTGCAAATAATAATAATGTTGGCATATATGTCTGTGGATTGCTGGTTATGACTGAACTGTGTGTGGTCAAGTTCAGACACAAAACATGTGATATAATATTTTTGACATTAAAAAGCTCTAAGCTACTGTGGTATTTCTATATAGTGTATTTCTGCCAAGGCATGAAATATGTTCATTCGTCAACATAAACTGAAAAAGCATCTCAAATTCATCTCAAGTAATTCAAATAACATAAACTCCTTATTCAAGGTCTGTCACAGAATATTTCCAGAGTAACCAGTGGATACAAGAAGGCATGCTATTGTGTTGGGAGGGTGACAAAAAAACCCATAGCAGGTTACCACCTCTTCCTGTCTGGCAAAACAAAGAAAATGTCATGTTTTTTTGTGTGGTGAGGGAGAAGGAAGCTTACTTCATACAATTCCAAGCACGCCACAGCGCATAAATTACACATTTTCATCATTTGTCAGAGAAGAAGAGACTTTATAGTTGCGTTACCAGGGGCGGAGCTTGGGGGTTGGCTTCTGGGGCTCTAGCCCCAAATGTTTTCTCAAAAAAAAAAAAAATGTTTTAGACTTTTAAAATAACATTGTGTAATTTCCATTCAGCCTTTCTGACTAGACCAGAAAATCAATGGAGTCAATGTTCTATGGGGGAAATGTTGCAATCTATTACAGTGTTATGGCATGGATTCACATGTTGCAGATTTGTCTGCTAATCATTCATTCTAGAGCCAGACTGATATAGGATTTTTGACACCGATACCAATTTTAGAGAGGAAAAATATCCTTGAATACCAATGAGCTTTGGCCACAGTTGCTATGAAGAAGGAGCTGTAGCAAATTTGAAATGTTTAGCCATTGAATACGTGAACAAAACATGTAGTTGCTGTGTTCATCAGACCCAGAATCCCAAAGCAAACTGATATGAGCTGCAGATTGTATCATAAATTTTCTTAACAGTGTAATATTCAGGACTGTCCACCTTTAGTGCACGTCACAGAGTTTTAAGCTCGGTGATTGGATGTGTCTTTGCCAAAATGCACCTTGGGAGTTTCTTTATGTAGATGAGTGCAGCCTTGACTTTTTATCAAACAACCAGATATTTCCTAACAGAGCTGTTAATCTAATGAGTAATGAGTCAACTTAAATTTCATGTCCATCCAATTGTGAGTCACGCAACATTGTCTAAAATTAATGGAACATTTACTTTCGTAGACAGAGGCACCAAAATAGCTTCTCCCACTCCTGTGCCTATTGTTACTGTAAGTATGCTAAGAAGCTAGCTGACTTAGCTAGACAGCCACTCTGTCTGCTGAAAAGATAACACACTAGCTAGGTCAAGCAGAGACAGAGTGAGTCCTGATGTGCCTCAGTTTGTGTGGAAAAACACAGCCTCTTGTCTTTTTTAGTGATAATGCCCTCTGTTTGGAACGGGGCATTAAAAGCAGCAACTGTGTTCAACCCAAACTTGTATTCACCTGCATGACATTTTCAGCATTGCAGGATTTATAGGTACTACAGTTCAGACATATTTTAGACAAACGCCTGACGCTGACAAGTTTCTTAGTGGAGCTTTAAATCTTTGAAATGTTTTGTTGTCACTCTTTCAATACAGAGGTGTGCCCTTCAGAACCATCAGTAACCTCTGTCCAAAACCTTCTGTGACAGGCCTCTTTTTCTGAAAGATTAATGGAAGTAAGTGGGCCCGTCAGTGTGTTGGCTTTCAGTGAGTTCACATGGTGCTGCATATGGACAGGGACGCACATAGAGAACAGCAGAAGTGGAAAAGAGGCAGCAGGTTATGGATGGAGAGTGAGAGTTTGCCGGTTTGTTTATTACCTGGTTACTCGGGGTGGGACAGGCGCGAGACGGGGCTGCACTAGGATGGACTGACGCCTCCCCTAAGAGAAATCACCGTATCTCATCAACATAGGAGGAGAGGAGAGGAAAGGAGAGGAGAGGAGAGGAGAGGAGAGGGAGAGGAGAGGAGAGGAGAGGAGAGTTGAAAGTAGGAGGCAGGAGGAGGAAGCTGACAGCAAAAGAGGACGGGAAGGCTTGTGTGCAGTGGGGAGGATTAAGAAGGGCAGTGAGGGTTGAAGAAAACAACAGCCACCCAAACAATACATACACAATGCATAACAAAAAGTGAACAGAAAACAAAAACATAAATATACAGAAAAAATGCTTACTAACGCACATTTACATACACATACATAATGGCAACCATACACGCGCAACATAATCAGATAACCCAACAGCCTGAAAGCATTAATGCGGCATGCCATGCAGTGTATCATTAACAGAAATCATGCTTAGGACAAGAAAGAAAAATATGTTAAATTATGCACTCCAAACGGCATCTGCATCTGAAAGCAGCGGATTAATCCAATAGCCTTTGGAAAGCTGAATCTTGCATGTTTCCTGGTTCGGAAAGGTAAGAGGAACATGCTCATATTAAACATGCAATCATCTATTCTATGAAGATTAATACATACACACTTGGAAAACCCAGAAATATATTTATGTTAACACACTTTATCCAACAAAACACAGAAGATTTTGCATTTCACTGTAACTCACACTGCACCACACACACACTCAAAAATGACCAACATTCAAGAAGTAGCAACAGTTAGTACAGATAAAAGAGTGCAATCAAATCTTATATGAATGAAACACTGATGTGATTAATGTCACTGCACGCTCAGGAAGCAGTTTCCTCATTAAATACGCCGTGCTGATTGCTGCTGATCAAACAAAAAGTTCACAAAACTTTGAAAAATCTAAACAAACGCTCTACAGAATGATCACAAATGATCAATTTAACAGTTGAATTGTAAAGAACAAACTGATAACAGGTGTTGATAACTGATAATGTGCAGTAACTGCCAGATACTGTAAAAGGTAAACTAAAATGTCTTTATACATTGTTTGAGTGCATTGATTGCCTTTAAAGGGCTCTTCAGTACCAATTCATAATGTATTAACTCAATTTGTTAAATCATTAGTCAATGCTTCATAAAATAATTATATTCCACCCGTATTGAAATATATAATTTGTTACTGTAATGATGATGTCATTTATTGGATTAACATGTTTTATTATATTTTCAATCCATTTTCCTGAACACTTTTGCTACCAAATTTATACAAGGTTTCTGCAGGGTTTTTAAGGCTTTTTAATAACACTGAATGCAATCTAATACCTTTTTTACAGTCATGCCAGGCAAAGGATGACGGAAAACCAGGACAATAAGGCCTATATTTATTTATTAAGTACATAAATGTATATTTATATAAAAATGTTGTCAGTACTGACCATTTGTATAACAATGATTCCTAGTAGCCAATTTATTAGTTACATCTAGCTAAAACTAGGGCTGTCTAATACAACAGTCCTGCACTGAAATACTTCATGAGAGTTGAAAGGTCAGTTTTTTTTTTTGAGAATCAATTCTTAGGATAATTTTGGAGAATGTAGTTTGTGCTGATGTTGAACTGTTTATTTAGTAGGCATCAGGATTCTGTTGTGGGAAGGATTATGGCATCGTGTGTTTATTACGTGAGGTCTAATTAAGTGTGGGGGTGTTGTTTTGGAAGTTGGTAGAAGTGGCCTGAGGACACAGCGGCATCATGCCTCTCCCCTCTCACTCCCTATCAATTTAGTTTCACCCCTCTCAGCTGCTGCGTGTGCACCAGTCTCACCTAATAAAGCTGAGCATCGTCACACTGGCGTGAGCTGTCTGCTTGTCGTAAGTTTTGTGGTTTATGTGGCCCTAAAGCTAAAATACAAAACTGACCTGTAGTTTCTATTTTAGCAACAAGCGCCATGAGCCACATGTAGATTAAAGGAGCTTTTTTTGAGGATAATGGAATCTTACATTATCCTGTGTATCAACTAGTACTGTTTACGTCGATTTATATGGCAGTAACACAAACACCTGTACAATATAATCCAATCCAATCTAGTGGCTTTGTGACACATGCATGCAAGGTTGAAAATGTTTAATGTTTGGTTGGTCCACGCCAAAATACCTACACAACTACTGGATATATCAGAGGTAGGCGACCTGAAGGGTTGCCTGGGGCCACATGCAGCTCTTTAGGCCCGCTCCAGTGGCTCCCTGTGGTTTCAACAAAAAAATTAAATGGAAATGAATAATGGTTATTTTTCATACTATCATTGTATGTGATTCTTACATTATCCAACTGTAAAAGATGTGTAGCCATTAAATTGTATAATATTGTTATTATTATTAATAATAATAATATTTCATCAACCAAAATGTGTTACGTTCAGACCTTTACGTATATATTTTGCCATAATCCCAATAACAGTGGCTACTTGAGTCTCCCTAACAAGGCCAGCTATGGATTCCTAATCCAAAAAGAGTATAAATCTCAGAGGAAAAATTTTATAAAGAATTTAATAGTGCATGTATAGATTTGTTTGCTTTCACCACCAACGGTGCTTGCTTACCAGTATGCTTGATGTATTGCGGCTCCAAGCAGATTTATTTATTTGGCCAAAAATGGCTCTTCTGATAGTAAAGGTTGCAGATACAGACATTTATGTTCTCCATAAAATGAATTGTGATCATTTTGACCTGATGACGCCATTTCAGTTACTACTTTGGTACTTTATGATCAAATACCTGCAAAACTAACAAAATTTGCATCATCCTCAGCTGTACTTTGTGTTTAATGTAAATTAGCAAATGATAATATGTAAACACTACGATGGTGAACAGTTTCACAGAGCTGCTCACTTGGGGAATTGTATTACCTTGTACAGGTGTTGCACCTTATCACATCCATCCACTGTAGCGCCCACTGGTTTTAACACATTTATTTGTGTATATTATATCATATGGGTATTTTATTGTTAAAAACTGCAGTTGGCATACAAAGAGTTATCAGTATTGTCTATGCTTTAACATTAGAATGAGACTTCAAGTGATTAAGGTTATGATTTCACTTTGTATGTTTTGATTTGTTGGAATGAAGAACTCCTTTAAACAGCACACTGAAGACCACCAGTACAGTCTGAATGTTAAACAGGTTGCTCCTCGCTGTGCGCTCTTCTGTAATCCAATAAACATTTGTGTTAAGGCAGTATTGGAACTTAAATTGTCACTGGTAGATAAAAAACCATGTGCTGCTGCTAAATGCTGGTATTAACCCTTTAACGCTCTTCCTAATGGTTTTTCACAGACTTACAAGCTTGTTAAACAATTGATTTATTTGGTTCTAAAAACATCTTTTTTCATACTTAAATCAAACTGATTATCTTACTTGTTACCAGAGAAAGAATAAGGTTTGGTATCAGTAATTCAATGTAATAATTCACTTTAATTTAATCATGGATGTACTGCAGAGTGCAAAGCCGTTTAGCTTCTCAGCCTCATTCATCAGTTCAAATCATGCATTAGTACGGGACAATGCTGCCGAAATACAAATTCTTTTTTCAGTGTTTGTATATTAAAGAATTAAGCATCAACTTAAAAAAAGGAAAACAATGAGTTGGGAATTGAAATGAAGTGAAGTTTGAAGGGAAACTTCAAAGTAAATCATGAGTATATCACCTGTTAGCATGGAGATGGACACAATAATGTGATTTATTTAAAGACAAATAAGCTTTTAAATCATAGTAATTTTGAATATGAATATGATAGATCCAACCTATATAATGTTGTGTGCAAACCTTTTTTATGATTAGAGATAAGAGATAATTTTCTGTTTCCCGAGGCAACGTAAAGTTATGTAACAGTAGTGCAATGTCGTCCTAAGACATTATGCCAAACAGTGTTTCACACCTTTTTAAAGAAGAAGAATAATACAGCTTGAATACTGTGTGCTCAGGCACAGAAAACAGATACAACACCTATTTTGCTGACAATGAACAAGACTCAACATGATTTATTGGGCTTCTAAAAGGCTAGGATCTTTTTATTTACAGTAAATGTGAGTCTCTTTTGGTTTCTTCTATTTATTTTTGTTATAAACTGCACTAAACGAAATCCCACAGACTTTTTTTCCTAATTGCCCACACTTTTCACACAATTCACCGTCCTACGCTGCAAACTTTATCCATCTGGCACCCACATTACAGAAAGCACAATATTTGCAAATAGGAAAATTCAACATGGATCACAGTAGAGCTGAAAGGATTAGTCGATTAGTCAATTACTTAATAAGCAATTCAAGAGACAATTGATCTGCAAGTATTTTAATAATCAATCAGTCGTTTATTCTATGGATTTTAGGTTCTTAAATTGGAGAATTTGATGATTTTCTCTGTCTTACATGACAGTAAATAAAATCACCTTTGGCTCTGGAAACAGTGTTTAGCATTTTTAATTTTTTTTTTACTGTTTTGTAGTTTCATTGAACAAAATTAAGCAATTAATCTGAAAATGATTAATGATGATCACACGTTACATTGGTAAAATAAAAAAAAATACTTCATAGAGTCGTCATAGAGCTAAATATATAATTATATATGTTTTCTAAATGTATAGCCTTGTGGGATTTCACACATTATATACTTCATTAGTAGTCTCATTAGTGGTGTAAATGACCATCAGTGTGATGCTCTGAAGCTTATGTCAGCTCTTCCCTCTTGGTATGTGTCATTGTTCTACTCCTCTACATTTGTCTGATTTGACTTTAGTTACTAGTTAGTTTGCATGTTCAGAGAAATAATAATACAATAAATAAATAAATTATTATTATATATTGTAATTGGTTAAGATAAGATTTATTGACCCCCTGGGAGGAATTCACAAGCTACCCAGTTGTTTATAAAGTAACTCAAATTTGTCCCACCATTACCAGCTGCAACATCAGCATCAATAATTATAATCCAATAATATAATAAACATTATTATCATGCACTTTTACTTAAATAAAAGTTTGAATGGATTACCTTTACTTGTAAAAGATTATTTCTACACTTTGGTATTGCTACTTTTAATGATCTGAGTGCTTCTTCCACCAATACTGGTGACAATCAAGAAAAATTATTTCAGTCTGAGTGTCGTAGGTTGTAATTAAAAAAAAAAAATGAACAGGACAAATGTCCAAGTCTCAGCATAAGTGAGCTGAGTAGCTGCTTTCATCATCTTCCATTCTTAGCCTTTTTCCCCAAACACAAAGGCATATGCATATGTATATATATATATACTGTATATGTTCACACGCACACACTATATTTACAGTGTGACTCATGCCTGGAGGTGGGCTAGTTCAGTTTGACAGTATAAGAAAGGGGGCGGGTTGAGAGCATGAAATGAAAAGCTCCTGAAGACACAACAGCACCACCACCACCACCACCATCACCACCATCACCACCACGCAGCATTCGGGTCTCAGCTGTTCAATAACCTGAGTGTAAGTCATGTGTGAAACAGGTTTAAGGAGTTTCAACCCCGACATGCTCGGCAGAAACATTTGACAGAAACAGCTACAGAACTGGCAACATCATCATCACAGACCAAGGTACACTCACAAACCCAGCTAGAGTCAGACATCTCAGTAGCTTGAGCTGAGGAATGCAAACAGCAACACTCTCTGATCTTTAAAGCTCCCAGGTATGTTGGCAGACAGATGGCATTCAAACCCAAACACGGGACGGTTCAGGGACAGGGCAAGACAATCAGAGGGACCACATACACACAGCACACAAAATTATAACAGTAGCAGGGGGAAAAAGAGAGGTAGAAGGGGGAGAGAAGATAGCACGGGCCATCATACGGACTCGACGAGAGAAGAAGCAGTCTCACAGACCTGATCAGCGAAAATCCTGGTTTTTGGCTCAACAATCACGGGTCCTCCCCTTAACTCATCCTCCACAGCCATGAGTCTTGGAAGCAGAGAGAGAGAGAGAGATAGGGGGAAGGGGGGGAGGGGGGGGTGACAGAAAGAGAGGGAGTATTATGAATTCTACTTAACAAATAAGTAACAAGAAGTTGAGCAGGTGCATCTCCAGCATCTGTCTCAACAACACCACAGTGATAAGATGTTGGTTACCTGTATCTCAAATCTGAATCCCAAACCTGATAGGCAGCTCAATCTTTTAAGCCCATGCAAATGTTGAGCAGCAGTAACCCAAGCCATGCTTTCTGAGGCACTGCCAATTTTCACTGGTGGAGCCTTTTTTTCTTCTCGCCCCCATGGGATTCATCAAAGCGTTTTTTTAACCGATTTAAGGTGTTTTCCAAGTGCAATTACGGCCAACTGTGGACAATTACGCTCAGTTATGTGAAGTGAATGGTTCAATAACAGATCCTGATCATCCCCAGGGAATTGTCCATCTTATGTAACATGGACTGACCAAGGCACTGGTGGAAAATCCTTTGACTAATGATTTCAAAGACTCCGCTCGCAGATATGAGCAAGCTTACTGTTGCATTTTTCACGAGCCATCGGACAGTGCAGGTTTCCCAGCTCTCGTGATTATCCAAGTGCCAGGGATTAACTCCAAATACGGTCATTCAAGGATATTTCTCACACAAGGTTATCTTGCAGTTACACAGCCAACTGGCTAAACTGTGAATATTGTTATGGTGGTGATAAATGCCAAATAGAAGTTAGTGTGAATAAAAAAAAGTCTTCTGCCCATGATAGATTTCATTGGATTGACTTTCCATCCATTTTACAAGATTTTAAAGCAGCAGAATAAACATCCTTACAATATGTTGACATGAAATAAGCTTGCTGGAATATTATCCCTTTAGAAGAGTGCACGACGGAGTAACTTCATCTCAATTTGTCTGGATAAAATGACCAGAAAGATTGTCACTTGTGCGTTCATTAGGCCGCTAAGCCAATCAAATAGATGACAGGAACCTTTAATTGGCACCATCTTTCACTGCAGGATAAATATACCACCAATCAAGTGATATTGTGTCACTCAAGGCTTTCAGCACATTCATATTAAAGTTTTATTCAGAACACAGAGAGGCACATGTTTGACAATAAAGAACGAAAATCCACAGGTGAAGTTTCAAACAGAAGTGTTTGGATGTTTTATTCCACAAATAATGTACAGTGTTGAGAGTTATTTTACAAAAGAAGAGAATAGGAAAAGAAAAGAATCAATCATACTGTAAGCACAGACAGAAATATCAGCACTGTCCCAAAAAACAATGGAATGTAACATGGGTATACAGCATCAAGATTTTGACATGACTTCAAGAGGCAGACAATGATTCATGTGGGTGATATGTTAAAAAAAAAAAAAAAGTTAAGCTTTTTATATCCAGTTGTACTTCAAGTAGTGTGCTTTTGAGGTCAAGTCGTACATGTAGTCAAAACAATGTGTGTATCTACCAACATGAGGTCACAATGTCTGAATATTTTGCTACAGAGAAAAAAGGCAAGAGACAAAGGTGTCAAATAGGATGAAAAGTTAATGGAAAGTCAATGGAAAGAAACAACAGACCTGGATCAAACAACAGCTGCAAATATGTTCTTTTTTTTGCCAAGTGCAACACATAGTACGTGCCTTTGACTGAAAACTTACCTCTCAACATCTGATTGGTGCTGACGCAGCAAACCCCCACCCATCTGGTTGAAACAAACTAAGAATTATTTGCAACCATTTGACACAGGTCTGTATGAAAGTGACTATAAACCCTTGGCTGTTGCTACAAGCCATGTCAATCAGACCAATATTGATCACACACACATCAAGCCAAAACTCATCACCACTATGAATTCATTTGCAAGATTTGAACATAAGTTTTGCCGTAGTACAATCTATACAGCCTATCAATATATTCTTGCTACAAAAGAGAGGCGGATATACTGACACCAGAATATTATCTATATCTCTGGAGAGGGAAAAGGAAAATAATATAGTTGCCCTTTTAATAATAATATCTAAATCATACTGTAACTGCATAAGTTAAATGACAGTACTGTCTAGCTTTCTTAAACAACTATTCTGATCACCATGTCACTGGACACCACCAATGACGGACTGCAGGTCAAAAGTCATACCAAAGCATATACAGCAAAATCATACAGATATAAGAAAATCTTTGTCGCTCTAATTAATAAATAATATATCCATTGCAGTCTTTCATTTAAAAAGCAGATAAATTCACAAACACCATACAGATAAGCCAAAAACAACTTGAGAACTTAGGAACACACTTTGCAGAACATACTGTTGTCAAAGAGTCACGTCATTGTTGTCATGTTGTCTCTGTGGTATTTTGCACTTTACAGTATTCCAGGTCTTTATTTTTTCTGTTTAGATACTGTGGATGGCACCTGGTAAAAGATTTTGGCAGGAAGTTACTGTTTCTTTATGTACACAAGATGCACACAATATACCTCAGCAGGATCCTGCATGTGCATTTGCACAGACAGCACATGTAGACATATTGTATCTATTATTGCGCTTCTCCTGCTAAAAAGTTAGCTATTGCAAGGTTAAAATAGTTATAATCTCACTCTCAATAGAATTCTTATATATATCTCATATATTATTATTATTATGGCTCTTGCATCACAGACTTTAATATGGTATGGATTATAGTTAAAAATAGATTATTACTATGACAGGTGCATTTAAGATCACTGATTTTTTTTCCCCTACTGCGAACTCACTGACGTAAATCTGTTGTTCAGATCACAGCAAACAGCTCGGGGAAGATAAATAGTTTATATTTTATAATTATCAAAATGCATTAAAATATTTTGACAAAAAAAAATTGGAGAGCCTGTAGCCAACTAATGGGATCACTGCCCTAAAGAAAAAATATAGATATAAGTGCTACAGGTAAAGTGGATTCAGTGTTTTCAGTGGATTTAACCTAGCATGACCTAAAACTCAATATTTGGCTTTGGTTTAAATTAGATTGTTGAGAACAAAAAGTGTATCTTGTCTAATGACAGATATTGGATTTGCTCTGAGCTTAACGTAACGTTTATGCACAGAACATTAAGGCTTCTCTGAAAGAAAATCTCTGACACTTGAAACACAAAGCTGAGTGTTTTAGTTCTGCAGATAAAGAGATATTATATATATCCAGCCTACATAGGAGCCATGAATTCAGGATCACGTACACTCCTTTTTGCAGAACCTGAGCTTGCATTTGCATCAACATAATGTCTTTGCATGTGAAAATTTAACATAAAAGTCAATTTAAGATGAAATATAACATAAGGCTATGGTTACACTTGTCATTGCACTAAGATTTTGGAGTCCAATCAATCCAATATGATGGCCTGAGACCATGTTTCTTGGCATCCACACTTTCTGCACTCTTTGCATTGCTCATATGTATGTTAAAATTAAAATGTGTCCAGACGATGCACAAGTGTTACAATGCATTCGATGACATGGTCTGGCTCAGTGAATTGTGAGTAAAACTGACTCGGAAGCATCCAGATCTGCTACTTAATTCATCTTTGTGTGGTCAGATGATAAAAGTCACACAAGTTGCAAGTGTAAGCCTCGGAGATATCTGTTTCCTGCACACTTTGCTTTGTGTGTGCAGCAGATTTACTGTATTCGCTTTAAGCTTATACTCCAGGGGAGCAGTAATCAATGGTTTGGCTTTAAGTGCTCTGATGAAGTTTCTCTATAATGTGGCATATTTCCTTTATGCCTTCATGCTCGAATCTTCATCATAGTCTGTGACTCTCTCCACTCTTCATATAACACCATAGCATCGTATGAATGTAAAAAAGAGAGAGAGAGGTATTGGTCTTCCATGTTCACGCTGTAGAAAGATACATCAGCAGTCCTTCAGTGAACATGGTTCACCTTGATTTAAAATGGAAGAGCTAATATTAAACCATTGTCTTCCATAGTCCTGTGCCTGAAGGCATCCAAAACAATGCTCTGTGTTGCTTTAAAAAGTGCAGACATGTTTCTGAAGTTATCAAATTTTCAATCCTCTTGTGCTTTTACAATGCAATCTCATGGGAGAGTCAATTGAAAATCAAGCTAAGTGGAATCATCTGAAATTATCCCAAGATCCAGTTAATAGCTGTGTTCATAAAAGTGGCCGATGATAAGTGCAACAGCACAAGGATGTGGGATGGTGTTTTAAGGGAGGTTTTATATACAAGGTTAGGGCGTTAAAGATGTTTTCCCATAAAAGACGAGCAGGACTGTCTCTGTCTTCATTCCATGTCTTCTTTCCTGGAGTGGATTAGAAGTGGCAATATTCTCTGTCACAGACACCCTTCAGTTGCAGACCACAGACTATTATAAGATGTGAACAAGAAAATATTGTACAGAGCCTTTTTTTCATCTGAACTCTCTCCACAGTAAAAAATAAACAAAACTAAATTTGAGCAGCATTGCTAATGTGCAGTCATACTTAAAATGCTCAAGGAATCCACAGCAAACATTTGGTTTTCGTGCCTGAATACATCTGAGATACGATCAATATTCCACTCTTTTCCCATCAACTACTTAATTTTGTGGTCAATCAATGAAAACTAAAGACTGCACTCAAAAACTGCACCATTACAATTTCACACAAGCACTCCATAAATTAGGACTCAGCTGGAGTTCTCCACAGTCATCCAAATATGATGCTCTTGAATAACAAGTAAACCATGTTGTGAGGTTATGATAGCAGATTTGCTACAAGAGCTTAGAGGACAATCAAAGACTCCTTTGTCCAGCTTAACTCAGTTGAAAAGAACCAACCACCAAGGGAACATGCCCTGCACACTTATCAAAGAAGATACAGATCACTGTCTTCCTTATAATAGTCTCTCATTTAATTTGTCACTCATTACATGTCTGCAGCTTTGGCTTTCAATATACTGTGCAGCTCTCTGCCTTCCTCCCAGTGCTGTAGTTCTTAATGAAACTGAAATAACCTCCTACCCTACAATATTCTAGATAACAACCCTTGTAAATAGAGTCATATTCCAATATGCAATATACGTATCTGAAGAAAAAACATCACTGCTTCAAGTTCATGTTTCACTCTTGTTAAATAGATTCCAATATATATATATATACAATACTGTGTCAACCAAAGACTTCTGCTTCCACTTACTCCTCAGAAGTATGATAATGCATTTGAATTAATGCTAGCAATCCTTATCTGAGAGAATATGTCACTTTTTCGATATATTTTGGAAGAAAACTCATATAGTCTATTCACCGAAGACATAACAATAAACAAAAATAAAGTCAATGTGGCCCGCCAATGGCCTCCCTATAAAAGACCACATGAATTCTTAGCTGTCTTTTGCCCTCCATCCCAATAACAGCCTCCATTTACCTGCTAATTATTCCTTTAATTTGGGAGTCTTTCTCCACTTGCTGTAGCCGTAGCCTCCTCTCACTGTCATCGAGTCGATTCTGGTACTGTAGGAGGATCTTATTGGTCTGCTGCTCCTGCGTGAGGAGCCTCCGCTCGTACTCCTCCAGCTTTTTGTGGGACATCACCAGGCGCTCCTTCAGGGAGTTGATCTCCTCCTCGTACTCCCGTACCTGAGGCAAAGATATGGATGGAATGCTAAATTAGAAATGTTTAAAGCAGGTTTGTGTTTATATGCCTTGATTTCTCAGTGGGTAGTGGATTTGAAAGTTCTTTATGCACATAATGTGGCTGTTGCATGAAGGCTGATGTACAGTGAATATATCAAACACTGAAAAAGATTTATGAACACTTGGCTGATAGCTGTTATTTTCCACACTGTTTGAGACCTCTGGACTTCTGATATGAGTGCCATCTGCTCAGCAATGATACACATAACTTTATATTCTTCTGAATTCTTCTGAATAATTCAAAGTTCTTTATTCATTTAAAGGGAAGTTGAGAAACTTAAAAGGGATACCCACCCTGTCCATGCGTGACTCATCCATGCTCTTTGAGTACTCCTTCAGTTTGAACTCTTCACGGTCAATCCGTGAACTTTCAATGTCAGCCGACAGATGAGGCATGTTGGAGACCCAGGCCACTGTTCGCTCATTGGCTGGGGTTGGGGGATTGAGGGTAGATGGAGACTGGGAGCCCTAGGAAGAAAGGCCAGCACGCTGAATATGAGAACATGAGTTCTTAAGTGGATGAGAGTCAGTTTCATAATAAGTGATTCTGTTGCTTTTATCCAAAGTGCCTCAGAGTTCACACATTTTGAGCATCGCTGGGCCCTGCAGGTACTCAAGCCCTTATTTCTGACAATGTTATTGCTGCGCTCTACTCAATGAGCTACACACATGCACACACAATTAAAAGCCATATACAGTAATATAATGTATAATATCTTCCACACATTGTTGCCATGTGCAGAGGCAGTGCTAAAGAGAGAAACAAAAAAGAAACAGAATAAAATGAATTCAGAGTGTGCAGATGTTACCTGTTTATTCATGGTGGGTTTGAGCAGGTGCTGTTGCTGAGCCTGTTGCTGTGGTGACTGCTGAGTGCTCTGACTCGTGGTTCCCTGTGGACTCTGGCTTTCCCTGACAGAGCTCTGCTGGTGGGGCAGGCCCGGGGCAGTGTTGTCTTTGACGGACAGCTGCCGAGACCCGTGCTGCCTGCCGCCGTAGCCGGACTCTGGGGACTGGAGGAGATTCCCACTCTGCGGTCGTGTTTTAACCGGAGCAGCAGGTGCAGCAGCTGAACTGACCGACAGCTGATGGGAGGTCTGGGACTTGACGCGCTGGGTGGGAGGTGGGGCAACAGAACTCTGGCGCATGGGTTGGACTGTGGAGGGGGGCGTGGTGGCCAAAGAAGAGTGGGAGGTCCCTGTCTGGGACGCCATACCCATCAATTGTTGTTGCTGTTGGAGGTTATCCTAAGGAAGAAAACAAGCAAATATCAAGCATTTTCATTGCTTGTTTCAGTTCTTTTTGGGGCAGATGATGTTACTTTTAACTTCATGGGCATTCAGACTGAAGACAGCCCTGCAAGAGGCAGGGTGTTTTGCTTCAAGTAGACAATGAGACAATGAAGTACGATCCAGGAAGTTCAGTTTGAGTGATGGATCGATGGGTTTGTCTTTTCAGATGCATGTCATCCCGTCATTTTCTTCCCATGTTTCCTGTCTGTCTATTGTCAACTCACTGTCAAATATACGTTGCAATGAATGATTATTAGATCTAGTAGTCTGCCAATATTGTTTTACTAACTATTAAATTAATATTTGGGTCTTGGAAATGTCAGAGAATAGTGAAAATGTTGAACAACTTCATAAAGCCCAAGGTGACATCTTCCTATTGCTTTTTTTATCCAACAAACAGTCCAAAACCCAAATAGATCTCCACAACTGTGAAGATGTAACTACAGAAGGTTTTTTTAATTGACTATTAAAATAGTTGCTGATTCATTTCCTGTCGATGGACTAATTTTGTTAGTTCTTTTAAGTATTTAACTCCTTTCTAAAAAAAACCCAAACACTCTCAGGTCTCAAATGTGTGGATTTTCTGCTTTTATCTGATTGTTATATATTGAACATCTTAGGCCACTTTTGGGCGATTGGTCAGACAAAGCAAACACCCTACACATTGGGCTCTTGGGAAGTTGTGATGGCCATTTTTCTTACAATTTTCTATCATTTCATACACTAAACGAAAAAATTATCGATTAAACAATAATGAAAACAATCATCAGTTAAAGTACTAAATCCATCGGAATAATTTAAAATAGACAATCTACACATAGTGGCTTTAAGATGTCATGAGAATATAATGAACATATATCTACCTGCACTTGCATGGACATCTGTCTGCGTCCATATTCAGCCCTGGTGTAGTCGTCACTGTAGCTGTGTGAGTGGATGATGCTGGGTTGGCCCAGGTGACCGTCCCTGGTCCTGAGGGTGGACAGGTCCTCACTGCGAGAGAACCCCCCTTGGGCGAACTGTCGGATGTAGGCCTGGTGAGAGGGCTCAGGGTCTGGGGCCAGGAGCAGGGGTGCTGGGGGTTGAGCCCGGCTGTGCTGGTGGTGGAGCTGTTGCTGTTGAGGCCCATCAGCAGTCGCCAGATGAAAGAGTGGATTCTGGAAGGAAAGCGGGCAGCGCATGGCGGCAGCCTGCTGTTGCTGCTGCTGGGATAGCGAGTCGGTGGTGGTGCCCATCTGGCTCAGCTGGCTCAGCCGAAGGCCGCCGGACATGCTGGAGCCGCCAGAGCCAGCTGACAACCTCCCACCGGCCCGCAGCTGGCTGCTCAGGCCCGACCCCAGGCCGCCACCGCCTCCGCTGCTCAGCCCTCCGAAGCTGCCCATGCCGGCGATGGAGGCCTGGGAGGAGTTGAGCATGTCCACCGACTGCAGGTTAGACACGCTGTTCATTCGGGAATCCTGGAGGTCCATCATAGATACGCTTTTATTGACACTGAGCACCTAAGTAATAAGGGATATGAGAGGCTAGTGTGCCCCCTATAATTATGTATGTTAGGTGGCCACGGATGATATGGGTGAGGGTGGTGCGGGTGTTTTTACCGCGAGGCCTGGATATCGGAATGCCTCAAAGTATTTCCCAGGAAATACCGCTAGGATGAGTTGCGTGGTGAATCAGTGGAAAAAAAGCAGATGTCATGATATACTACAGCCTCGATCACACGATGGCAGATTCTATTAAGTATGACTACCATGCACGTCATACTAACCTCACTTTGATAAAGATAAACCTAGTGGATGGGATGATGATTCCCCAGATCAGAGTGATAAAACTCACCTTAGGGTCTGGTTCCGTGATGTCCGAGCTGCTTGTGAAGTAGGCTGGGCTGGATCGGGCCAGGGGAGGGCGTGATACGTAAAACATTTCTTTGGAGGATGCTCGATGGGGGTGGTCACGGTCCTGAAAACTCATCTGGGAGCGGGATGGCATGACCCCTCCGGTGGAGGTAGGGGAAGGCAAGCGAGTGATATCTATAGAGCTGGAGAACAGCAGTGAGTAAGGCCAACAATAGCTGAATATAGAATAGGAGTCCTTGGGCTTTGGAAAATTTTAAAGACCTAACAGTTAATTGATTAATAGAGAAAATAATTAATAGGTTAATCAGTAAAGAAAATAACTGTTAGTTGCAAGCAGTGTTGGGCAAAAATTCAGTAATTACATTATAGTTATTAATCCCAGTACCACTTCAATACTTTGACATTTGATAAGCTAAGATATCAATTTAGAGTAATGTTATTACTTTGTCAGTTAATGTATAATTAGTAATTGATTACAGTTTTCAAGTAACTTGCCCAACATAGTTTGCACGTAATGCCAAGTTTTCACAATAACCAGTTTCATAATACTTCAAATTACATAAAAACCACAATTAACTGTTTAATAGAGCTATTATGATCACACCTACCTATTAAGATCCCTCATCATGAGGTTTTGGAACTCGGATGAGATGCCCCTGTTGAAGCTCGGCCGTGACAGCAGCTTGTCTGTCTGTCTCTCCTGCACCCTGTCTGTCTGATGGCTGGGCTGCCTCTGGAGGTGTGGGTTACGCAAGGCCATACTGATGTCATTCAGGAGGCGAGGCAAAGGACCCAGTTTGATAATGGCATCCTGTGGTTAAAGGAATAATGAAAAAAGGTATAATACATTTTGAGTTATCTAATGTTAGGGTTTCATTAATATGCCACATATCCACTTCCACTCCCTTGTCACATGCAAGTTAATGACAGCTCAGGCCTACTTAATGACTTACAGCCTCATTTAGCAAAAATGGTTGAGATGAGAGAGGAGTGAGACATTCTTCACTAATTGTTGAAATTCAATCATACACATCCTGTCTGAGTTTTGTTTAGTTTAGTTTCACTGTGATAAAAGCTGCAGTGATGTACTGTGCAAGTGGTGGACACAGTAAGATGTCAAACTGTACAATATAAACAGCAACAAAAATATGACTTTTGTTGTCTAAGGAAATGTAATTTCTTATTTTATTTATTATTACTAAATAAACAAAATTAATAGAAGAAATATCCTGTGTAACAAAATGACAAATATAAAAGGTATATAAGGTTATATAAAAATGTCCCTAAAATAGCATTAATATTACTATTGTCTAGAAAATGTGTACGAATAACTGTCTTATTTCAGAAATAATTCCACTGTAAGATCGTAGTTTACAATGGCACAGATGATGTGTCATGTTTGTGACTTTGTGAGTTTACCTTGCTGAGCTGAGCCATGACCTCCCAGAGGAGACTGTGCAGTATGGACAGCTCCCTGCCAAGGTCGATGTATCCCTCAAAGCCGCCTGCATTGCTGACACTGTCCAGGTTGGAGATTTCATACAGGAACTGCTGCATGGAGCCCCACTCCATCTCTAAAAACTCATTCATGAAACACATGTACTCCTCTTTATTGCCAAACCTGCAGGTGGGAAAAGATTGGAAGGCCAGTGAAGAGATAAGCAGGTAGAGGGTATGAAAGGGAAGAGAAGGCAAAGAGAAAAAACAAGTGAGCAACACATGATGGTGAAATGAACTGTCGCCATCAATGATAACTAAACTAACTCTAAATTGAGGTTTCTCAGATGTAAAGTCCTTCATGTCCACTGCCATCTTTTCAAGACCAAAACATTACAGTACTTTTTGTTGTGAATCTATGAATGTGAAATGAAAACAGTTCATGGTGCCTTTAACACATCACTTATTGGAGCTCAAATAAACCAAACTAAGACAGATTTGAGTTGCAGCACAGTGGTTCCTGTAGACAAACTGTGTGTGTGGTCCAACAACTTGTAACTACACTGACTTTTGTTTGCAAAACATGGAGCACTTTGACCTTTCTCGCACAATATGACGTAAAATTAGGGAAATTAAATACAGTGGAAATTCATCACCTTATATGCCGTTTTTTTATTAAAATTGTGAACAAACATGCTACTTTTCATAGGTTCAGTATGAAAAGAGGTGTAACCCAGGGTTCACTCTTTGGCCCACTAATATTCACCATTTTCATCAGTATACCTAGCTACAAATGTTCACATTTTGTTATTCTGTCTATATGTAGATTTCACTGTTGTGCCCATTGGAACATTTTTTTGTATTTCTTATTATGATCTAAGTATAGTTTTGAATGCAGATAAACTAAGCTTATATTGTTATTGTTATTCCAAGATGACACCAGATATGATTATTCTAAGCATTTTGGGTGCTGAAGGGAAGGCATACTGAACATATTTAAATGTAAAAAATATCAGATTATTTTATGTAATAGACAGCCAGCTTTCCTTTTCACTTCACAAAGGAACACTAAATAACATTTTAGTTTAGAAAAAAGTTTAGTTTAGTTTACTTGTAAACTGTACTTGCAAGAAGAGATTGGTGGCTTCTATATTTGTTATGTTTGATTAATTATGAGTTTTAACTGTGTGCTTGCTGTCCTGCAGACAGTAGTGTACAAGTTAGTGACTGGATGCAAAGTGTGAACGCTGTAAATATAATAATATAAAACTGACTTGGAGAAGTTAGCCAGGTTTTGCACTACTTTTGCGATTAGGGTGAGCGTGCGCGACGTCTGCTCGTTGGGATACTCCTGGGTGAGATTGAAGAGCGACGGGGACATGATGGCAGGGCACAGGAAGCGCAGGAAGAGAGAACCACTGATGAGACGGTCGGCAATGTCTTCCCGACCTCTCTCAGCACAGCGCACTCTCCAGGAGGCAAAAACTTCCTTTAGCTCTCGAGGGAAAACACTGTGAAGAGGATAGATTAACAGGATCAGAAACAAACTGTGTAGCATCTCTTCAGCTGAGAGAAATAAACACACTCAATACAAAGGAATCTTTTGCATTTGCTATTTACTTACCAATGGGAGTTAACGATCTTACAGAGTGCCAGTTCACAGCACATTCGGAGATTGGCTTGGTGGTCTGGGACTACAGAGGGTGGTGTTCTCATGGGGTCCACTTCGCAATTTTCCTCTGAATCATACAAGGCCCTTATGAAGTCCCCTAAAAATGACATTTCATTAGTAACAGCAAAATGGCAGAAACTATCGCCAAGATCAGTTCAGTGTATAGGAGGCAGCGACAACAAAAACCAATAGGACAAAAAGAAATCAATTTTGGGAAAGTACGAAAATTTTGCATCAGCAGCAAATCCAACAGAGGCCTGACCACAAAACCAAGACAAAGCTGTGAAACTTGGGTGGCAGGCTAATTAGCCAATAAGCTACTACTGTAGCTAGAAGGCAAACCTTCAAGCAAGTAGTTAGCTTCATTTATAAGCTAAAACACCCACATTAAAATAAAATAAAAAATCATATAAATTAAATTATTATAAATGTGTGTGTAGAAAGTAATCCTCAGAAATAAAAGACATATTACACATTTTACATATTACACACTGGATATGTTACCACTATATCAGATTAAATGAGGACAAAAAGACAGCATTTTTCCACCTGAGAAATGTTGTTAAACTCAGACTATATATTGCTCATCCTGATGCAGAGAAATTGATTCAGGCATTAGTGTTCTTTCGTCTGGAATATTGCAACGCTCTTTTAACTTGATTGCCAAGAAATTCAATGAACAGACTTCAGTTTGTACAGAATGCAGCTGCCCCGAGATTTAACACAAACAGGTAAGAGATCATATTTCACCAATCTTAGCATCTTTGCAGTGGCTTCCTGTCTGTTTTAGAATTGATTTAAAAATTGTATTTACTTGTTTGCAAATCTCTAAATGGTTTAGCACCTCTATATTTAGCCGACCGCCCCTCCCTGTATTCTCCTAGTCGCTGCCTAAGCTATCAGTGCAGCACTAAATGTACCAACAGTTAAGACAAAGAAGTATGGAGACGCAGCCTTCTCTTCCCATGTGCCTTATGGACCGTAGGGACTAATCCTATTTTCAATTTTATTCTTATAATTCTACCCTGTTTCATTATTTAATTATATTTAATATGTTTGTTTGCCACCTTTTAATTAATATGTTTCAATATTTTAAGTTTTTTTTAATATACACAATTTGATGTGAAGCTGTTTTAGCTGCACTGTATGTATGAAATGTCCTATACAAATAAAGTGTATATTTTTTTCTTTTAGAACAAAAGTTTTGTTATTCCAAACATCTTATCACTATTCTGGCTCACCTATAGCATCCTTGAGGTACTTATGTCCAATCAGTTTGAGGTACTCTTCTATGGCTTTGGTGGCCAGAGTGTTCTCTCTGAAGATAAGGTGTTCTCGGTCGATGAATCTGTCTACCTCACACATCGCCATGTCTGACAGGAAATCCTGGAGAAAAGGAGAACTAAATTATTTTCTTTATTATACACAATGTTAAATAGAAATGACTCAGGTTGTAAGGACTGTAAAAGATTGGTTTTAGATCAGTTGCACATATATTGAGTCACACAGAGGTGTCCCTACCTTAGCTTTCCCTGTGCTCTGCAGTATATGCACCAATGCACAGGCCACTTCCTCTTTGCTCTTGACACTCAGCACGGGCTCCAGCACAGCACACATAGTCCGGTAGTTATTGGTGACATACTCTGCAAACTCCTTGTACAGCTCCATGGGCAGGATGTTCATGGTCTGGAAGCGGGATTTGAGGCGTAGGGATGCATTGATGATCTTACCCCCTCCAACACCAGCTCCTTTGGTGAGGACGCTGGGTTGGATGACCGGGTACCACTGCTCCACAAACTGACGTCCAGTGATGCTTGAGATGGGGATGCTTACAAGTCCTAAGTATGTGCTCTTTTCCTAAGAGAATAAAAGTTGATATTAGTCAAGATAAGCATGTTTCAAAGAAAAGCTGTCTCATTACATTTGCATGAGTTTTATAAAACATAATCTGAAAGTTTGAAATGTCAAAAAAAGTGAATAAATAATGAATAGCAAGACCAACACTGCATCCCTGGAGTGTCGTTTGAAGCTAGAAATCAGTTGTTTTTTGATATGGTGGTGCCACTCTTGTACTAAACTGAGAGTAGAAATTATTGTTGTTGTTATTGCTACCCGTTCGTATGCTTACTAAATGTATTATTTGTAAAAGTGACAAAACCTAAAGGGGCAAAATAACACAAAATAGCCACAATGCTGTGTTACCGCAGGGAGCTGATAGGGTTGTTGATCCATGGCAATGACTCAATGATTATTCCATCAATTATGATGTTTTCTTTCTTTCAAGCCTGCGCTCTTTGTTTGAACTTGACTCACTGCAGCTGAAGACACTCCCTTTTCCCTCCATCCTAAACTATGGACATTGTATAACTATAACTGTTTCGTTACAAAGCCAATAAAGCAAATCACAAAGATTAAAGTGCCACCATGGACAAGACCCCTACTGGCTATTGTATTATAAAGCCAGTGAATGACAATGCAGGGATTTTGCATAATTTCACCTCCACACAGTGTGTTATTTTCTCATCTCTTTCTTTTTGTTGAACTGATGCTCTAATAAACCAAAATGTTCGTAAGGAGAAGGCAGGTTGTGTCAGGGTTGATAAAAATTAATTAATAACTTAGTAACTTTGAAATTCAGTTTCAGGAATATCATCACCTTTTAAGTTGATATAGGGAACTTGTTGAAGAACAGGTTCTTATTTACAGTTACAGAGCAATATTATCATTCATTTGGAATGAATTTAAGTCCAATACTTGCTCTCATTTAGCTCTGTTTTGGTCTCTACCAACTCCCGAGGAAAATATCTGTCTCTTTGGCTGTTAAATGCTTCACTGTGTTCCCCAGCTAGTCACAAACTGTGACTGTCTGCTAATTGGTACTGAGCAGGTAGTGTACAGTGAGCTTTTAGTGCTTTTTTGCTGAAAACAGCTGCCTGCTACGGTCTAAAATGATGCTATGAGAGCAGCAAGAGTGAACCCAAACAGTAACGTTGTGGGGTTGGACAGTTAAACAATGAGCTGAAAATATAAAGCCAAGGGGAGCTGCAGATTCAGGTCATAATTCTCTGTACGGGTCGAGCAACTTTTTTTTATACCGTCGCATTCTCATATGATTCATTTAATTATAAAATTACCAATTATAGCCACTTTAGAATTCACTTTCAGGCAATTGCTTTAAACAACAGAAAGCTAAAATAAACCAGAGATTACTACAGTGCTTCTGTCTTGATTTCTTTGTAACAAAGCGTTCTCAGACTTCCATGCTGCCCTGCAGATCTCTTTGTTACCTTGCGTCTCTTTTTGTCTGTCTCCTTGTATAGATGAAGGCGTAGGTTGCGGACGGCTGGCAGGTTGTTGAATTCAAAGTGCTCGCCCCAGAAAACGGTGTCGGTGCGGGGCTTGCTGGTGGTGCGTGCGTACAGCATGTCGTCCAGACAAAGTTCGCAGTAGTAGCGTTTCTTGGCTGGAAGCTCGCGGGCCTCAATGATCCACAGTTTGAGCACATTGTCCACCCTCCGGCTGTTGTCCTGCGTGGAGATGAAATCAGGTCAAATAAGGTAATCTGCATACAATACATACAGTCATTAAAAAACTTTATAAGAGAAGATGATACAATGTAGGGGAAAATATGACAAACAGCAAAGAAAAGAGGTCAGAGATATGGAAACAGAGACAGTGTGTATGAATAAAGGGTGACAGCAGGTCAGCCTGCAGGAGAACAGAGTAAATGATGGGAAAGAAATAGCTGGTGACGTGGCGGTTGAGCTGCTGTGGATTGTAGGCTGTACTTGATAAATTGTTCTCAACACTGGACTTGAATACAGAAACAGAAGACAGCATGACAGCAACACAGAAAAGAAAGATAACAGAAGATGTGAAGGATAAGAGGAGGATAGCAGTCTTACTGGGTGAAAAAGTAATTAACTCAAACGTAGAAGGACACTAATGACACAAAGCACATGTGTTGCAAAGACGAGGGACAAACAATGGTGGTAATGTTTCTGTAGACAGCTACACTTCCTAATCATGATCACAAAGCCCAAGCTATATTTGACATCCCCCATGGGAGGAGACAGTGCCGTGTTGATTCCAGAGTGATGTTTCAGTGAACTGGGGCTGAGTCATTTCAATTGGGCTCAAATGCCATTGTTGTTAGCCCCGTTTGCTTCAGACTATTTAAGTTCTAATTTAGACGGCTCAATACGTGAGCATCAGCTAGTTCCACAGTTCTTAAGTTCTCCATTTGTATGCTCTTTGATAACCAGCGCCAAACACAAGGCATAATTAATTCCAAACCTCTGAGTTTGAATGTGCTGGGCATCTGGTGGCTCAGTTTGCTAGTGCACATACAGTGCAGCAGCATCAGCATGGGCTCAAGTTCTCCATCTTGATAATCGTGTTACATCTTCCCTGGTTCCTGTCATATTTCACTACCAAAAAAAGTAATAAAACACAAAAGCAGGGTGAAGTGGCTGCTCTCCTTTTCAAAAAACAAACAATCAAAGCTCAAAGGGGGAATTAAAAGGCTCTAGAAAGTTAAGAAGCATAATGATAATCCTTGTCTGTCTCTGCAGAGGGTCTTATCTCTGTTGATGCATCTGGTCTGAGATGCATGGTGTGTGTTGTTTAGTGGTAGGGGGGGAGACAATTTTGGAGAGAGCCCCCGTGTGGAGTCCTTGGAGCACCATGACTCAGCCAGGACCCCCGCGGCCTGAGCATCTGGACAAGGCATTCAACTCGGTGATGTTTAATCTCAGTCTGGCTTAATAACGCCTAGTCCCTGGCTGCCTTCAGAGCTGCATATCTCACATGCCTGGTCTCTTTTTTTTAATAACAGAGAGGGGAAATATGGGACAATTTTACAGAACTATAAAATGTGGGTGAAAATTAGGATATTGGTTTTACTATGAGCCGACATGAAGGGCTGAGATTAGTTTTTTTAAGCTGTGAGGATGGAAATAAGATCACAGCACCTTAAAGCTGCACTAGGAAAGATTTTTGTGACAATATACCACCATATCTTTCTAAATCATACAATAGAGCTACACAAAAGAAGAGGATCCCATCTGCACTTTAACCCGGTGTCAGGTATGGACACATTGGCATTGGGCCTCATGCAAGAAAATTTTTTTATTCTTATCCTAAACTACTCTTTATCTATTCGAGGTTTGTACGTACAAGAGTTACACATCAGATTCAACAACTAAATAAAACAAGAACGAAAATATTAATACTACAGCTGTCAACAGCGTGTTATCAAAGCAACTCTGTACTGTGACAGAAATACAGGTAATGATTTAACATGAGGTTAAAAAAGTCTTAATGACTGATATGAGAGACAGATATCTTACAGGATAATGTTTTAGCCTACAGTAGGTGAGGTTACACTGTCAGGTGCAACAGAACATTACACTGGACAGCGACCTGCATTACGACCCTAAGGCAGCTGTCAGAGTGAGAGAATTTTCCTACTGAAATGTATAAGTCGCAGTGCATATACCAGTAAAAATCATAAAATCTTAAAACCTCTCAGTAAATTGGCAAGCCACGACGATGGACGGAATATATATTCATCCAGAGTAAAGTATTATGATTCTTGGTCAAATTAGTGTTTTTTTCCCCTGTGAATGCCACAAGTCTCATAAATTACTTGAACATGGCCCTCAAGAACGAATTTCTACGTCCAACTGGTTGTTACGTGAGGCCTAACGTCTCCTAAAGCAGTGAGGAAGGACCTGGACTCCTCCATATTTGATCCACTGGCCTATTCCTTTCAGTATCCTTTAGTATCAAGTAACACAGACACACTGTGTTGGTTAACATAAGCCTGCTGAGTGTAATTTACTGACTTCACATTACCTGATTTGTGGATATCAAAGTTTTTCCGAACCGCAGTTTGGATCCTTCACCCTGCAACATTACCTCGTGCAGCTTTAATATTTGCTTGGAGAAGCGACTAAATTGTTCAACACAGACACACACAGACACGAGGATGGAGTTCACACAGAGAAATGAAGCGGTGCGCTCTTATTGAAAACAGACAACAACGGGAGACAGGGAGGAGAGAGAGAGACACACAGACAGAGGGATCGTCCTTTTTTCTTCCTCTACCGCATCCCTTTCTCTCCCCTCACCTTGTTGGGTTTGACAGCTCTCTGCAGGTTCTCGATCCATTTGTCTCTCTCTGCAGCTGAGCGACACGCAAAGCACTTGGTTCCCGATGCCGTAGTCACCTGAGGTTATAGCCAATGGTAAATTCAACAACCACAGCCATTAGTAACTATGGAGACTGCAACTAAGGCGCCAAAACAATGTCTTGTATTCACTCTCAACCTCTGTCATGTTCCACTAATGGAAAGGTGATGGAAATAGCTGACAGACTCCTGCACCAAATTATGTAGGGACTAGGGCTCATTTCAGTGTCCTTGTTTCTTTCATTTTTTCACATGTAAAAAAAATATATAGTTTCAGTTCACATCAGTCTCTTTCAAATCACTGTCACTTGTCAGAACATTTTTGGCTCTTTACACTGTGTGTGCGAGTGTGCTGTTGTTTTGTCCTCACCGTGCCGCTCAGTTCTCACCTCAAAGCAGTACTCTTGTCCCAGGATGCTCGAGTGGACAGGTTTGATGATGGCGTCCTCGTCCAGAGTGAGGTCCAGCGCCTCTGCAGCGCTGCTGGGAGACAGCAAAGACTCATGGGAGTGGGACTCTTTGAAGCTCTGCATCAAACGGGTCCTGGGGGGAGTTATAGTTGTCGTTAGATGTATAGAGGGGAGACTCTTTTATTGAAGGTGGCACTCCAGTTCTGTTTACATGAAACTACAGGAAATTTCTGTTTGTCAGTGTATGTACATTGTATGTTAATTCTAAACCCTATTTAACTCTACTTCTAAAGTGCCTTGTTTGAACAAAACTAGTTTCTTTTTGTCTTCATTTTATCTTTGTGTAGTAACAAACAGCTGCACAATATGTTAAACTACAGTAATAAAGGGGCTATAAACACATCCCCAATATATATGTCATGAACATAGTTCCTCAAGATGTGTCTGCAAAGTTGAATATAATCAAATTACGCAGAATATTCCATATACATCATGTTGAAAACCACAAAAAAACCCAGATTTCTATCCAAACAACACGTTAAGTTGTTGCCTACACTGACTTTTTAATTTCAGACTTTTCAACATCTTAGCTGTTTTGGCTATTGACAGCAAGTAATTAGGAATTAGTCAACGCAGTTATCGCTTTCATCGCTAAGAGGCAAAGATAGAGGACATTTATTCTGAATCATTTAAGAGGCAGCTGTAAAGTGGACAGACTGATGAAACTTCTAATGCCACAAGGTTCATTAGTTACATTTTGAAGAAAATTCAGTTGAGTGAAATGTGACTGATCCTATGCACTTATTCTTGTTTGACTTGTTTAAATCACGTTAGCTATTACACAAAATCAAAAGGATATTCTCTCACAATGCGGTACAGCTTTATCTTTTGTTTTAGTATTTACGTAGCTGTCAGTACAGATATATCCAGTATTTTCCCTCAAAGCAAACCTTTTAAACTCCACACGCAACGGTGAGTCTCAATAATATCATAAATCCTGACACGCACATGCAAAGGGCTCACACTAGTGAACAGGGTTTCCGCTAAAGCCCGTCCATCATGCTCACCTACACACTTACTCCCACACACAGATGTATGCATGTAAAATCATCTCAGCAGTCACACAGTCACTAAGACAGATGTATGATGACACAGTAAGTCTAACCAGAGAGCGAGGAGGGATGGTCAGGTTTGATGATGCCCCTCAGAGAAGAAAGGGGGGATGAATATGAGGAAAAATGAAAGCTAAAAAAGATACTGTATATCCTCTGAGCTGCGTCCGACTCTCAGCTTCTCCCCTGCGCTCGCACTGCTTTCGTCTATGTTCAATCATAACGTTCATCAACAGAGCACTGATTACATGTAGGGGACCGTGGGGGGAGAGAAACACAGAGGGAGAGAGAGAGAAAGAGAGTGAGAGAGAGAGAGAAAGAGAGAGAGAGATAAAGAGATAAAAATAGACCCAAAGGAATGAGTCAGATTGAGGGGAATACAGAGGAGAAAAGAGAAAGAGTGGGGGAGGTCATGAGAGGATATGAGAGAACGAAAGACTGAGAGAGGAAGGGGTGAGGGGGCGGGAGAATCGAGAGAGAAGACCTCTCTGAGGAAATCACGTTGATTATGTAAACAGTAGATCCTTTGGAGAAGAAGAAAGCGAGAGCACGGATTAGAGGGAAGGAGGATGTGTGAAGGGTTGGGGTGGATAGAGGGATTGAGACGAGAGCAAGAGTGCTAGAGGTAAAGGAAGGTCTACGCAAGGACTCAGTGGGGAGTTGAAGTGCAGGAAGAGTCAAACATTAGGAGACAGCACACGGACACGCACACGCACACGCACACACACACACACACACACACGCGCGCATTTTATTTAACATGTCACGACTGAAGAACCACACGACAAAACAACCTCATCGCCAGTAATGACAGACTAGAAACAAGCATTCAATCAGCAGATACAAAACTTTGTGAGATTGAGAACATGTTTAGTGTCTCGCTGCAGTGAACTGAAGCAGGACAGGTCTGACAACCAACACGACATAAAGACATTTAACTGAATTTATCAAATATGTAAGAAAGCTGGATCGATTTGTCAATTAGCCAATCGACAGACAATTAATCTGCAACAATGTTGAAGCCATTTGATCAAGCGAAAAGGTGAAATGTTTGCTGCTTCTGCTTTCCTCTTTTAATTCATTTTAAATTGAATATCTTTGAATTTTGGAGTGTTAGTTGGACAAAAAATGACGTTCAAAGACGGGCCTGCAAATTCAATATCATTAGGATTTGGACAAAATGAAAGCTATTTGAAGACCACCTCTGGCTGTGGAAAATTACTACAGGCCATTTCAATATTCTATGACATTTTATAGGCTAAACAATTAAATCGATAATGAAAAAATACAGAACATTAAAGTCTGTGGGACAGAGAATGCTCTAAATGTACTATAGGTCATCCCAGGACACTGAAATGCTGCTGAAAAACATGCTAAAGTATACAGCATATTTATGTAAGAGTTAGTAGCTATATGACCTACAGTGTTGTACAGGAGGGAAACTCTGGGACCCATTAGATGATTGCATAAAAGTAATTATTAAAAAACATGTAACAATTTATAGCATTACAAGTTTTACACCCTGTTTGGGAACTCAGACGCATGTTTTAAAGTCCATGTTGAAAGAGAGTATGTGTTCCCTCTTTTTATTTACCCTCCTTAGATAAGGAGAATGAGAGAATAATAATAAACAAAGCAGATGTTTGCCGATATCCCTGACAGAAAACATCCAGAGTAAACCAGGAGCAGTGAAAACAGCAAACAACAAGCTCAACTTCGCAAGGCTCTTGACTTTTCTGTCCGTTCTATGTCTCCTCACACCAGCCTGGATAATAGACATCCACAACCTTCCCAAATGAATAAATCATGTGGAAACGCACCTTGGCAGACACCTGGCTCAGAAAAGGTTTTAGCGCTCTCCTGAGTGCACTTTCGCCCTGTGATTAGATTATCAGGATGACCTTGTTCACATCTGAAGTTTGAGTTTGTTTTGGCTGCAGTTGTTGAGTGGGAGCTTATAGATAAACTGAATGGACAAACGTAAAGCTTAGTACTTTTCCACTTGTTAATTCAATTGATTTTTCAATTGACATAAAATTAACTAGCAACTATTTTGTCCATTAATTGTTAAAGTTATATTAAATGCAAATATTTAAGCATTCTCTTGCTCCAGCTTCTCACTTGTGATGGCATATCTACTGTTGTGGAGCTGTAGAGAAAGAGAAGAGGCTGAAACTCAATGGAAAAAGTTAAGAAAAACTCACTTAAAACTTAGTTCATCCTATTTGTTAAACAGCCAGACAACATGATGATTTCACACTGTATATTCTTTAATTTATTCTCTTTTCTTCTTCAAAATAAAAACTTTCCTGTACAAACTTCTGCCAAACCAAAATTCGGCATTCAGAAGAAAAGTTTCCAACCTAAAATTAGGCTTGTACCTCTTTGCCTGAAGAATGGCAGTGCTGCTACAACTGTGTACATGATACAGAGGAGGTATAATTAAGTAAATCTCCCACTGACTCATTATGGTCTGTACAGCCGCCATATGGCTGTCTGCTGGTTGCCATGGAGAGAGGGGGTACATTTTTTCATCACCCCGGCAAAGAAACAGCAACGATGCTGAGTGTTTTAATTGTAAGTGACAGTGCGGTGGGACGTGAGAGTGTAAAATAAACAACAATTTATTACAATGATAGATGGAGACAAAGACAGATAAAGACAGATAGGAGAGATAGAAACAGGTTGAGAGAGTGACAGAGACAGAGACAGATAGATCGGTATAATGATAAATCAATCGACAGACACATCTAATATTTTTAAAAGAAAACCAATGTATGGATATAAATTCGTTCAGCAGAAATGTGTTTTATCTTTCTTTTCTTTCCCATTAATCATCTCATGAACCCTCAGATTTGTCCTGTGGCAGGGGCCAGACCCCTATGTTGGGAACGACTTAACTGCCAACTGTACATAAAGCAGTTCAAAACAGCTCCACCTCAACCAGCAACAACAATAAAATGCTGCTTACACATTGATACTGATCAGTATTAACAAACTAATAATGTCACATACAATAATATATCAGTCACAGGGGACTTTATTCTGCAGAAAGAGTATTTTTACTTTGGATACTTTAAGTACATTTAGCTGGTAATGCTTCTGTAGTAGGATTTAGAATACAGGGCTTTTACTAGTAATGGAGTATTTATATATTGCTATATTGGTACTTTTACTCAAAGCCCCTACAAGGAACTTTTATTTTGTGTTGATTCTGGCTGTCCCAGTAGTGTTTCTACCACCTCGTTTCATTGATTTCAAGGGGAATCCAACCGAATCATACCCAGTGGCAGGCATTAAGAATAACTACATATAAACAGCCGATCTTCTCGTTGATAGGTTTGTTTTGTTCATGTAGGTCATATAGAGGCATCAATATTAAACAGAGAATGTTTCATAACCTGTTAAAAACTCCTCCTCCCGTTTCAACGAGAAAGATGCTTTAGACTGTATAAGTAGATGGAGACGCAAATAGTTTGTGATGCCAGAACATTTACACAAACAGATTTCATACATTAACGTAACTGCACTGTGTTTGCAGATTAACACAGCCAGACACAGCAGATATATATAATACACGTATGAACACTTGAAATCACTCTCAGATACTGACCTGTCTTGGTCGGCACTGTAGAAGCGGGGGAAGATTATGTGGCGGAAACTGCTGGTTCGGTCCAGTTTGGTATGACTCTTAGCCCTCTTGATGGAGCCCTTCAACCTTCTACTGAGGAAACTCTGGAGCAGGTGGAGGAGGAGAGCAACAACGGGGCAAACAGATGGAGGAGGAGAGGGAGGACGTGCATGACGCGGAGTTATGGTAAAGAATATGTGGTTGAGTTGGAAACGATGGGTCGCATCAGGTATGGTTTAAGGAGTGACATGTATAAAGTGAAACAAAGACAGATGTTTCCCATGGAGTCAGTGTGGTTTGTGTCAGATATATTTTAGTAACACAAAAATCAAATGGAGACACACACATATGAAACACATGATACGTGATGGGGGAGAGCACAAGGTACATTTATTATCAGCAAGAAATCATACACCCACACGTCCACTTTCCACAGAGAACTGCAGTGTTATAACAGCTCCTGTGGTGGGCAGTGGTGTGCCATACAGTCCAACAACAAGCTCAGCAGTATAGATCTCACACAGGGGTGCAGTTTGTCCTACATGAGATCAAATCACACAATATGACACACTGAAACAGGAAATTACTCATTGATAATGGAGAACTCGATTATGGGGTCAGTCCCAATACCCACGCTTGCGTTATTTGAAAGGAGTCAAGCGCCTACTTGCATGACGCATTTGTGGTCATTTCCACGGTGCACGAAGGTCTGATCAGACTGCAAGTGCGTGGAAGATTATCAGAGCTCACTAGATTACTAAATAAGCTGGCTCAACCACACAGTACAACGGTTACAATCAAATGACAGATAACGCAATTCAATCAAGTTATCTACAGCAGTGGATCTCTAACTTTTTATAAGACCACATCACCGCTTCAAAGGAATTTTTTCCTATGGCAGCCCGAGCCACCCACTTATACTTATAGTATACATATAAGTATACATGATTTTCGATTGATTTAATATTTTACCATTATATTATATAAGTTATATGTTAAATAATAGGCCCATTCTCAATAATTCAGAACAAAAGGTGTTCTGCAGATTTACAGATACATATTTTACTTAAAATAAATTAATACAATTAAATAAATTTTTATGTTAAATGTGTTTCTGTCAATTCTTCAATATTAAAATGGGCTTATATTAAGGTGTACAAGAAAGAAAAAACAAAACAAAACCAAACAAAATGTTTCAGGAAGAAAAAGCACATCCTGCAGGTCTGTCTGCATTAACAGGCGAGAGGGCATATTACACATATATGATCTCAGGAATGTGCAATTACATGCGGACAAGTAAGGAAATCGGTCTTCCTCAAGCAGCCAAATTTTGTCCGTGAAGCCATTAGCCAATTAATGTTGAGTCTGGTTTTAGTTTGTTGGTCGGCTCAGATTCAGTCCTGACACATTCTCTTGAAAGCTGAGATTTATCAGCATTTCTCTGTTTACCGTGTCAAATCTTTCCATCTCTGCTCTGATAGTCACTATTTTTTCTTTGCTGACTTCCTGAAAACCTCCAGTGCCAGAAAATGTGTTGTGTTACTATGACAATCAGCAGCACAGCTGCATATTTAACAGTTTTCAATGCGGAGGTTTTGATATCAATTGTTTTTTTCTTCTGTTTGGATGTTTGAAAACACACGTATTTCTAAAAATCTTTGATATAAGGATGTGATATTTAATATTCATCCTGACAGTGTCAGATATGGAATATTATACTTATCAGTCTCATCAAGACACATTAACACATTGTTAATATTGCATGATTACTTTGTATGTTTGGACATGAATGTTGCATTCAACATGTCATAAACTTAAACTTCATGTCTGGTAATTACTGTTGGTCCTGAAACCAGCCTATAGGCGCACTACCACCAACAACTGGACTGGTGAGGTGCAGTAGACCATGGTCAATGGTGAGATAGATTTTGATGTGGTAATAGAAAAATTGGGAATCAAATGTGGGTTAAGTGGTCAGTGTGTTGGTAGTTTTTGACAGCGGGCATACTTAAGTAACTGCAAGGGTGGGTATTGGGGCAGACCCTGTCTTTATTCGACCATTCTGCCAAAAACAAACCAGAACCATGACCAGTGACCAGACAATGGTTTTCTGCATACTGATCCATTTAAAGGGGGACCAAGTGAAACAAGACATATGTATTAAATGTACAAAAAACTTAAATGTTAATTCTTTGACAGCAAGTGATAAAAAAACAGAAGGTAGAATTAATTAACTTGTTCCACTCTTTAAAAGAAATATATTATACTTTGTGTCTTGATCAGTAATATTTCTGTATAATGTGTCACCTCTTATATCTAAATATCTTGGAAAAAGGTGAAACTACATTGAAAAGATGTGACATTTCCTGCCCAAATAATTTTTTTCAGCCCACAAATAGCATATTAACATCTAAAGAATGACAATGTCAAATTTCAAAGCTGTTTTCATACCTTAAACCTTCAAATGTTCGCTGAGAATGAAACTTTAGAGCTCAAAACATGCATGAAATATCACTTTTGTCTTTCTTATGTACTACTGTCACCCATTCAGCTTTCAGGCACATCCTAAAGACTCACAGTAATGTCATTTATATACCTATAGCCTAACCGCGTTATTCAGTAGGAGAATGACTAGAGGGAAATGACACCTCGTCATCTGGCATGAGTCAAATGGCTTTGAAGCCTGTCTTGAGGATATGACTAAAGACTTGGCTCCATCTGCTGGTTCCCAGCTAATAGCCTGCATGACTAAATCTGATTTGATTAGCCGCTCCGTCTGACACTTTAAGCCTCAAAAAGTAAAAGTATTCAATACAGAGAGAGAAAAGCCTGAATCACAACAAACCACAATAAAATGAGGTAATAGTGAGAAGGCAGGAACATCAACTTCATCTTCAGTGTACACACTTGCTCTGCTACTGGTTGCCTTTGAGGTTATTTCAGGTCAAAAGAGAACATTGGTGTCGTTGAGCGTTTCCGCCAATTTGCTACTGTCCACATTAAGTAGCTGTATGTAATTAGATATTAATTTTTAAAACACTAATTGTCAAACATGGAATGAAATGAACTGCTGTCTGGGCTAGATCACGGGTGATCAACACCAGTGGTACTCAGTGATACTTTACTTGAGTATTTATACTTCTACCCTACTGTACTTGTCACTCCACTACATTTATTTGACAATAGAGCTGCAACGATTAGTCAATTAATCGATTAGTTGATCGACAGAAAATTAACCTGCAACTATTCTGACAATTGAATAATTTGTTTTAGTCTTTTCATTAAGCAAGAATGCCAAACATTTGCTGGTTCCAGCTTCTTAAAAATTTGGATTTGATGCTTTAATTTGTAACACATGAGAGTAAACTAAATATTTTCCTGGGCTGTGGGAAATTGAGCAGTATAGTTTAAATGTATAAGCATTTTATAAGCAAAATAATTAATTGATTAATTGAAATGAAAATTGTCGTAAGCTGCAGCACTAAAATACAATGTATAATAGTGTATCACTCGCAAAGGCTATTTTCCTGCATTATTAGTACTTATCATTTTGCAAAATATATGCCACTTAAATACTGTTATTTATATGACATTTAATGGAGGATTTCCCTTTGTAATGCAGTATTTTTTGATACTGCAGTGATACTACATTCACTCTAGTAAAGGGTCTGTTGCCTCCTGCTGTTTTACACACATATGCTGCCTGGGAGGAGGCACTGCCGTAAGGACTAAAGTCAGGGATCAAAAGTCTCTTGCAGGCAGTTAACACCACAGCAAGATTGGAACATGACTGGCTCGTGCACTGATAAGTATTTGGTTATTTTTAGGGAGGTATACGGTAAAAAAGTGGGTATACGCAGGTACAACAACACCTTTCTATGCTTTTAAGGGATTATTTTTTGGCCAAGATTTTCATTTCCTTCTGTAACTGTCATGAGATTTACAGTAACCAACATGTCTGAGAAAAGATTTGTCTGTATCTTAAATTCACAGACACACTCCTCCCGCCCTCCAGGCTTGCTCATCCAATCAGAGAACCTGAAATATTGAAATGAAAACACTAAGGCTCCACATTTACTCTAATAGATTATCTGCCTGCCGTAATTTTTAAGTCTGTGGAAGCGGTTTTTCATACTGCAACAGTGAATGGGCAGCAAACAGTTTCATCTGAAGAGAGGAAAACAAGTCCTGCTATTTCCAGCGACAGAAACAGTGTGCAAATACCAGCAGAAATAATGGAAAAGAGATGGGCAACATAGATCACTGGGCACAAACCTAATAAGACACCAAACTATCCTTTAAGCCCCTTTATGTGCACGTTTGATACCTTGTGATTGAGTTTCTGTTGCCATGAATAAAACAATGAACAGATTATTTCTGTCCACAAACAGAACATGTTTAGGTGCCAGCTCTTCTCTCCCTGTTTGACTTAGCATATTTTTCATAATGCTGTTTGCATTAAAGAATCTTACCAGGTGTTTTACACGTGTTAATCCATTTACTTCACATCACAGTCAAACAGATTTGTAAACCATGTTTCATGTTTTACTTAAACTTGAAGATATTTTTCCTGCCATTCCAGGCATCCATTGGTTTTCATGCATTTCTGAAAGAGATTAGATTTAGAGATTGTTAGCTGACTGTATAATAGGCAATATCATTCTATTTTTACTGTATCACCTTTTTGTATATATGTTTAGTTTTCCCCTTCCCATTCTGCTTGTTTCACCATGTCTGCTTAAATTTGACGGTTTAAGATTTTTGTGTTGTACATATTCATGAAGTTCTATTATTCTATGTCATTAATGATGATGTTTTAATTCTGCAAACAAACAAATTAACTAAATGCAGTGCAGCATTTTAAAATAAATCTGCACTTAAACTACATTACCACACAATGATGAAAAAACTTTACAAACAAACATTAACGCAAATTACACAACTCAAGTGCGTTTTAAGAGTTTGATAACTGATTTTCATACTGTTGGGAAATGAATGGAGACCAATGGCTGCCTAGAATGGTAGGGAAAAAAAATGTATAGCATGCATTTGAAAATATTCAGTTTGTATTAAAGGAGCGAAGACTTGCAAATACATTGGTACGACCCTTCAAGATGTACTGTTACAATAATTCTGTGAATATGAGGTCGGAGACAGATTTAAGAGACCACACCAGAAAGGAGTGAGATGTTCCATGTTTTAATGCTAGATGCTAACCACTTTCTGACCAAGACCCACTTATCTGAACATGTAAACGTACATGTAAATGTAGCCAGTGTCTCTGCTTCAGCCATGTTTGTGTAACATACCTCAAAAGGGGGCAGTGGTGCAATAAACGTTCCTCCTGCCACTGGACTCGTACCAGCAGCCCTCCAGTCTCCGCCCCAGTATAAGAAGGGGGGGGAGGAGGAGGCAGCAGGCGAGTGGGGCAGGGTGAAGGACAGGGAGGGGGAGAGGGGCAGCGAGCGAGGCAAGGGGGGTGTGCCAGGCCCTTTCTTGGAGCCCTTTTGCTGCTGCTGCTGGGGCTGGCAAAAGGCAAGGGAGGGGGAAACAGCCAGGGAGAGGGGGAAAGGGTGAGGCGGGGTGCCACTGGCCCGGCGGCCACAGGTGTGTGGCGGGCCCAGGGTGGGAGGAGGGAGGAGGGACAGCGAGAGGGTTGGAGGCAGCGAGCGAGGCCGGGAACAGGGGGGGTTACTCACGGATTGTCGGAAGGGTTGAATGGGGGCAGTGGGAGGGACCTCCATGCTGGGCTGCTTCCCGGTGGCTATGCTCTTCCGCCGGGCGCGATGATCTAGGAGACAGAGAAAGAGAAGAGGTTGACAGGTAAGACACTAATACACTTCAGCGGAAGGGAAACATTAGAGGTAAAATGAGGGCAGGACAAAAAATTGCGGCGCCCAGACACAGGTAGAGCGAGAGGATGTGGGGAGAGAAAGACAGGGCCATTGTGGAAATAAACAGCTTCAGGAGAGCTGTTATTGACAGTCTCCCTGAAGGAACGAAAGAGGGCAGGAAAGAATATGAAAGCTAGATGGGGGTCAAAGGTGAGCGAGGCAGAAATAAAACCATTCAGGGTCACACCCATTCACCAGCACTGCTGCTGCTTCTACTGCTACACACACACATAAACTCAAATACACTTCCATCCATGGAGCTTGACGAAGTGGGCGAGAGACTATTGGAGAGATAGATTTTCTGTCTGGACATCAGATGAGGCGAATGTTAACAGTCTGCATGCTGAGGAGAGGGACCGGGAAATGCATGGATAGAGAGGAGTGAGCATTAAACAAACAAAGCACTTATTGACTTCCGTCAGCGAGTCGGTGTCTAATGCACTGAATTGGTCAGTAAGGGAATTAACTACTGTCGTGTGCTTGATGGATGACGTGGAGGGAGTGTAAATGTACAGTTAGAAAACACAGGAAACAAAACACGGGGGGGGGGGGGGGGGGGGGGGGGTTGATCTGGCTGACCTGTTTACCCACAAATTACATCAAAAACCAGAGTGAACGTAGGTCGAATGTGTTCATATACTGCAGGCATGGCCAGTTTTGGTCCAATATGTCTTCACTTACCACATCCCTGTTGTCATTTTACCAAATGTTAAAAAAGTGTTCTCAGTGCTGTATGCCTGTCTCTGCACTAGTGTCCTTGAGCCAAATTCTTGTACATTGTATGATGAATGCGACTTTTGAGGCAGCCACAAATGGGCCTTGTGTTTCACAGAATAGAATTACAACACTGCGTGTCTATAAATCAATAAATGGTTTGGCCACAAAATACATCTCTGACTTGCTTGTACAAAATTAAATTACAGTGAAGCAAGTCTTTAAAGGACCAGTGTGTAAGATTTAGTGGCATCTAGCAGCACTCAACAAATACACCGCTATTTGCTGATTGCAACTTCCTTGCTTCACCCTCCCCTTCCAAGTGCGAAGGAGAAACTATGGTGGTAAAATAACTTCTTGTTTCTTGGAATTGTTCACTGTTGTGGCAGTTGTGCCTCTATAAAAAACATTTGTTCTCACACACACAAACAAAAGTTATAATCATTTCTGGACTGTACATTTTGTTGGTATATTGATATTTGGCCTATTTTATCTTTTTTCTTTTAGCATTCTGTCTTTATTTGATTGTGACAATGGAGATACAGACAGTAAAAGCAAGCAGAGAGAGAGAGAGAGAGGGAGAGAGAGAGAGAAAGGTATGACGTGAATATATTGGGTTGTGTTTTTATTTATTTATTGGGAAATCTTTCTTCACCTTAACAGCCGGAGGCCATTGAATGGGAGAAGGAAGTTTTCACAGTGATATTAATACTACTTTTGCTGCCGAAACACAAAGCTGATGGGAATGTCATTAGTGTTGAAGGTGTTTGGTGTGTGATTATAATTCATCTTAAGGTAAATATTAGTGTACCACCTTAATGGCAAAATATTTAATAGTTGTTGAGACATTTTACTTAAAACCCCAGATAGGAGCAAGAGGAAAATTCAGTCCATTGCCGTCTGTACAAACTTTTGTGCCAATCCATCCTGTAGATTTCGCTGGAAGTTAATTTTTTTGATTCATCCCCTGGAGACCATGAATGTGTGGGAAAATGTAATCCATCCAATAGTTGAGATATTTGAGACAGATTGACGTTGCCATCCCTAGAGCCATAAAGCTAGCATGGCTAGAGAAGGAGTACAAACATGATTCTAGCTTTTGAATGGGCTTTCTCACACACAATGAATATGTAAAGTTATGAGGAGTCAACAACATGTTCTACATTTCCACCAGATGAAGACAGAACACAATCCCTTGTCTAATAAAGCCATGGTGACCCCCTATGTAGAAGCCCTGCTTAGATAATCATTTTTGTCGTCTCCAAACTACAACATGATGATTTCAAAGCCTTCTTTACATCTCACATTTTGTTTTTTCCCTGTTATCTTTACACATCCTCCTTTCCTTGTTTTTTCCCTCTTTTTTTGATACATGCCCCTATCAAAGAAAAATATACAGCATGATAACCCTCATGCAAAACATTAGTGAAGTAATATTTGTTCGTTTGTATTTCTCTGTATTTTTCCAGCATTGCAGCCTATCTCGCCCTGACTCTCCATGTTGATCATGCCGTCTGTCTCTGCTCTTTCCTTTGCTCTCTCCCTCTCTCAGCCTCTTCTGTCACACAGTCACACTAGTTCTCAGACACACACACACACACACGCGCACACACACACGCGCGCACACACACACACACCTCTTCTCTCCCACGCAGCTATTTTACATAATTCAAATAGTGCATTTATCCCTCTACCTCTCTTCAGCCCCTGATCTCTCTCCTCTCGCTCTCATTTTCTTTCTCCTCCTTGCACCCTCTTCTTGTTTTCATACCGTCCTCTCCTTCCCTCTCCATTCAGATATGTGTGGCATCTAGAACCCTCCATTTTCTCCATATTACCTATCTGTATTCCTCTTTTATCCTCATCGCCCCTGTCCTTTCGTTCTCTTTCATTTACTTGTCCAAATGGCAATCTTTTCACCGCAAGCCCGCCCATCTTTCTGTCTGCAATCCTAACATTTTCTCCAACCCACGCAAGGAGGGAAAAAGATGACCACAAAGGTGTTTGTCACCCAGCCGAGACATCAAACCATGCCACTGTCTCTTTGCCCAAATCCACAGCTTTAAAACCACCGAATCAAACTCTGTAGGCTGGATGAGTGACTGTTGGAGGAGTCCTCTAAATTAAATCTGAGAGCAAGGATCTTAAATGAAAAGGTTACTGATACATCACAGGAGATAACTAAACATCTAGCTCCATTAAAAGGTGTCAAGAGCGCTTTTGGCAGTTCACAAATCCACTGCAACCCTGAACTTATCTAGACATTAGCTGGAGGAGCTTTATGTGAGAATGCAAATGTCCGTATCCGTTGGACATTAAACAGACTTTACTCTGCCAGCTCCCCAACTGCCATGTCCATGTAATATCTGATTAAGTTCATGTGTGAATATAGCAGAAGAATATTTCTACGCTTCTTTCATGCAACTGGTACAGAACCTCTTTTGCACTGCACTTTTTGGATCATGTCCTGCCTCCTGCATACTCTGCTGAGGGGCTGCCCCTCATCTAACCTCGCAATACCAGACAATCTGAGATTTCAGCACCTGCCAATTGTCTGTGGATTTCTAAATGCAAAGTAGTTACTCAAACAGCGGTGAGAATGGCCACTAACAAATGTACGCCCCTTACTTCAAGGACACACATTACCTGAAAAAATTCTCCTCTGTAGTGAAACACACTAAAGACTTTGGATTGGTTCTGAATTGTTTTTTAAACTCTCTAATTATTTCCACCATCAGCAATGAAAAGTAGGAGAAAGTCCTAAGTCTCTGTTGAGCAAAGCTTTAACCCCTCGCCTAAACCAGAGTATTTCCAGTAGGTAAGAATCTCCTGTTATGTGCTACATGTGCGAAAGGGCAACTCCGCACAATGTCTACACCTGATCTCTCGACACTGTTTGGAGTTCATATGAGGAAATGGCTTAATTTTATGAAAGGTAAGTTCAAATTCTAGAATTGTGTTTTGTTTTGTAATAGGGTTATACAATGGCAAACTTTTAAAATTAAAATCAATTAAAACCTACCCTTGATTGACACAAAATTAAAGCAAATGATAGTCACTGATAAACTGTTTCTGAAATCTATCTTATTTAGTTTAGAAATATTGAATGAGTTTCGCTTCATGAACTTTGGACGTTTTTTTTTCAAATATTCTCCATTCAGCTTGGGTGGCTGCCATCACTTGCTCACAGTAGTACTCACAGTTTCTTAGGTGTTTGTTACTCTGCAAGAAGTGTTAATTACCAATTGTCATGGGTAATGCCCTGTACAGCTGGAGGTTATGGCATCATTATGAATGCATTATAGTACGCATCATAACTGTAGCCATCTCAATTAGACCTCATTGATAGCAAGATCCATTTCAAAATATATTGTTTCCCAATTAGTTTGGGAAGTTTCTCCTTGAGGAACAGATTGTGCCAATGAGAGAATGGTGATTTAGGATTCGACTGGCATCAGTCTTACGGTAAAAAAAACAAAAGTTTGGGGCATTTCTGTGTGTTAAGCTATAGACAATGAGATCAGAAAAACAAGCAGTCTGTGAGTTGGTGTACTATCCTAAACCCTCAGGGTGATTAAAAACACTTGGTCCTTTTGGTGCCAATCTGGAGTTATAAGATTCAGAGACAGCACGTGTTTTATTACATCCTCCAATGGAGGGTGTCGTTGGGGTGGCTTATTTCTGTTGGATTCCTGTTGGAAATCAACCAAATCTTTGTCTGCTTCGGGTGGTTGCAGCTGTTGTTGTTTTCCCCCAAAAGTACAGAAAAGTACGGAAAGACCTATTTATTTATCTATACTTGAAAGTTTAGGTTTTACAATAGGACTACCTACTAGGACCCCTAATTAATAGAATTATCCATCGAGAAGTCCTTTTCTCTGCGTCACAGAGAACTGCAACAGCAAACAGGCATTTAAAAAACCAACTGTAACTGAAAGAGAGTGCAGCGCAACTTGTTTCTTTCCACTTCTCCAATGTTCTCAACTCCGGTGCTGAATGCTTGCAAAGTCAGCTAAACTACTTTAAAACTAGTTACTAGCTCCACTTCCTCTACTGCCCTCCATTGTGATCAAATCTAAAGCATAGAGCCTGTCAGGAGCAACGCTGGAGAGATGTCCCATGGTGCACTAGGGTTTTGTAACTGAACTACCAGGATGCACAGTTTCTATTTCTTTGACTGTGT